CAAGAAGTCCTATTTTTTCTGAAATATTGTGGCTCTAAAATCATATAATTGTCAGTAGGTATGAATTTGGCAGCTCTAATGTCATAATTTTTTGTTTGATTGAAAAAATTGCTGTTTGCACTTCGCAAACAAGCCATTTCATAAAGTTTTCATCTTCTACAATTGGCAGTATATATACTTCAATGCTCCCAGCTCCTGCCAAAATGACATGCAGAATGTAATAAATAACATCAACGACAAGTAGACCCAAAACATTTCCTTTAAGATCGCGTAGTTGCGGGCACGTCTGGGCCGCTGGGCGGTCAGACTGCATTATCACTTGTTCAGTTGCCGCTTAAGTGAAGACAAATGTTAGTGACTGTTCTTAGGACTTGAGGTAAACTTAGAGATGTGGGATAACACGTGCATGGGACTTTGTAAATAATAAGTTTGTGGCTCATAAATGGCTTTTCATGGCCAAGATATGGAATTCATGGCTCAAAGAAATAGAATTGCAGCTGGCAAACCCATCAAACCACAGCTTGAAAAATCCAGTTGTGCCTTGCCAAGTAGATGTATTCCATGTCTGCCCTTAACTCTAGTGTTAAGAGGTCCTAATTTTTTCTGAAATATCATGGCTCTAATATCATAGAATTTCAATAGGTATGAAATTTTGTAGATCTAATATAATGTATTTTTGTTTGCTTGAAGAAATTGTGTTTCACAAACATGTTATTTCTCAAAAATTTTAATTTCCACAATCTGCAGTTCAGAACCAAGCCAAAATATCCTGTGTAATGACTAATGAGTGAACCCTAAATTTTTTGTTAGTGATCGCATAGGTTTGGTCATACTTGTTGACAAATCATGAAATTTTTTAATATTAGACATTTTTATTTCCTCAGTTACTCAAGATTTAAACCCATTTCTTGTGTAAGATACGTCTGATATCCATGATACTTTAGTCTTTTACATATAGGACAAAAAAAAAACTTTAGGGAGAGTTTAAAAACTATCTGCTTTGACACTATGCAATCATGTCAGACCAGAATGGAATTCTAAAAATGCTGATTCTTATCACATTTTTGGTCCAAAAATTTTAGTTAATAGATAGCATAAAAATAGGAGGGATTAAAGTTGCACTGAAAGAATAAAAAATGATGGTTGCAACACTTCAAGATTTCATTTAGACTAAATAATAATTCATTAGCAATATGTCACTGAGTCAAATTAATGAATTATTAACCAAATCATGCCACCAATAAGAGTTGAACATGATGCACACTGCGTAAGTGATTTGAGGGAGTAAACTCGCATTGCTGCTTAGTTAAGGGGAGTGTCTGGTAATTTTTTATCTCTGCTATTTACAGGCAGATCTTTTTGAAACTTGGTACAGATGTGTAAAACAGAAGAATAAATAGCTTTTATTCATGAAAATTTTTTGAAAAACTGAAAGAAAAGATGAAATTCTGAAAGGGGGTACCATAGAAAACTATACTCCTCCTAGTATTTTCAAGCTACAACATCGAGACGCATATCATTTGATGCGTAAAGACCATATCTATTGATTTATTGTAGTTTTTTTTTAATTTGAATTTTTGTGGGTGGGGGAGCATTTTCCATAAAATTTTTAAGAATTTTTTGATTTCCCCCATTTTTCAAAATAATTTCAAAACTAACAAAATTCATAAAAACTACAATAAATTGATAGATATTTTATTTGCAAATCGAATGGTATATCTCTCATTGCTGTTGCTTAAAAAAAGGTTGAAAACTCTAGGAGTTAAGTTTGTAGTGCCAACAAGTGTGAATGTTCAGTAGTGTGACAAAGTTCCGAGCGCCTCAAAATGGGCATTCAAGGTGGCAAGGATGCAAGACTAGATGTTACTGGAGCTTAAAGTCAATGATGGATGGTGGGAAAAACTGCATGAGCACCATCCTGTATGACAGCAGCTGGGTAACTAAAGGGCAGCTTAGTCAAACTGTTTATTTAAGTGCTTGGCAGCAAATTTTTGTCTATGTTCATTAAATGTGAAGGAACTCCATCCCTAACCCTTTCATGATCTGTCATGAATGCATAAGTCAATGTACAGAGATGGTTTTGGTAGTGTTGGATAGGTCAGAATGTCAGCTTTAATATGAGACTAAGAACAGCAAAAGCCAAAATGTTTGATTTTACTACCAGATGCTTGCTTCCCTAAATGAAAGCACACATACAACTGAGTTATATCTGAATTTTGGCTGCCAAAGCAGAAGAGCATTTCAATAAACCCTTGCCAACTATCTCATATTAAAAAATTGCTAGTAAATATAATCTTAAATATTGATTGTTTTATTGTAAACTAAGTAAGCAGAGCCAGTTCAAGAAGCCTTGTATGGCACTCATTTCCAAGCATTACTGGCGATCTCTTTGTTTGAGGTAGTAATGAACTGGAATGGACATTTTAGTGTTAAGCCTTTAAAATACTGCATATTCAGTTCAATTTAATTGAAATTTGCATAATTTTTGATGAAGATTTAATTTGAATGAACCTGATTACTTTTTAATTAATTATGATGACTATAATCAATATAATTCTATATAATCAATTATATAATATATGATTGACTATAAAAGTTTGGTTTTCACTGGTGCATTCAAGAGCAGATTCTGAAATAGTTGTGACATTTCCATTCCAATATATAAATGGGATTCATAAAATACTTAACAAATACATTCAATGTCATTTAAGTGAGAATTGGGATGAATATGTTGACAATTTTACCTTCATTCCCATGATGCCTATTTGTACCAGCTGCAGCTGTGGAAAGTTAGTTAGTTGGTTTAGTGGCCAAATCTTTACTAGTGCTTCAGCTATTTAGCTATCTCGCACCAAAAGTCAAGATGAACATCACCATAGAGGTGGAAGGTCTCAATTATTCATCACCCACAAGGGGCGGAAGGTCTCAGATNATTATTAGGATCTTTTCAACCTTATATATATCTGTGTTCAATTTACGTGCTTTGTTCAATAAATAATTATTTAGTATGCTTTCATTTCTCCTTTGTTAAGATCGGTGGCAGTTTAGGGTTACTTGTCGAATCTACTTGGAGTCGTCCTTTACTTGAACCTTACAATACTGATTTGTTTTGGTCACCTTTCTTATTGTTATTTCTTGACTTATAAAATAAGTGCTTCATTTTAATGCCAATTGCAAATTCATTTCTTTATAACCACAAGAAAAAGCACTAGATAAATTGGATTACATGAAAAAACATTGCTCATTTCATACTTAGTATGCGAAAGTAATTGCCATATAATGGGATAATAAAAGACAGTTTTGAGCATTTGTTGTTAATGATTTCTTGCCATGAAACATGTAAATGAGTTTGGGTTCATTTTAAAGGCCTTTGCAAGGGCTATTGTATGGCACCTCCAAAAAATCCACATGATATTTGTTAAGGTGCCAGACACAAAATAAAATCATCCCTAATTACCCCTGGGAATGGGGTAATCCAGGACACTTGATATAAAACTTAATTTTGAAATGTTTGAAGCATGCAAAGTGTTCTCATCCATTACTAACAGTACTTTGAAGCCCTCTTCTTCTTTTGTAGATGATGTAGTTAAAGAATAAATATTTTTTGTGATTTACTTGTTTTTCCTTCATTGATATGATATTACCATATCCATGCATTACCATATTAATGATGTGATATTACCATATCCATGAACATTCCATAGAGCATTCACAGCAATCTTGTCCACTGTGACAAGCTTCATATCAGCAGCCGTATAGCATTTATTCTGTATCTGTAAGCTTATAGGATGGCTTGTAAATTCACACCATTTTAATTGGGTCAGCATTGAGAGATATACCATGTTTGATTCATACAAAAAAAATCTATTGAATGGTTGCAGCTTTTTTACAATTTTCTTAAAAGAGGGGAGGGGGTTAAATTGACAAAATAATCCCTCCCCACCCACCAAAATGAGGATTTCAAAAGAGCAGCGATCAATCACTAGATATGGTCCTTATGCATTGAATGATATGCGTTTTGATGTTGTATCTTGGAAATCATACTAGGAAATCGATTTCTACAGTACCCCCTTTTTGCTGTTCTCTATGAATTTCACATTTTCTTCAATTTTTTCTGAAAAATTTGCAAGAGCAGAAATGTCTTAGATTTCTGTTCTGCGCATGTGTACCAAGTTTCATAAGTCTGTAAATAAAAAAGATTTTTTAATTAGGAAAAACCAGTGGCTCCCCTTAAGGCAAATATATATTTTTTCTAGAGGCCTAAACAGAGGTACTTTTCTGAAATCTTTTTTCTTTTGCACTTTTTCAGGGATTTTTAGAGGTATTAAATGTACGATTTCTTAACTTGCTTTATGCTATATAGATGGTAAAAATGTTGAACTTTATGCCACTATTTTTAGTTTTGCAATATTCTGATTAGTTTGGCTGCTGCATTTCTACGAAATGTAGGACCACTGTCCCGATTTACCCTGCTTGTCCCTTATTACTCCATTTGATGGTATTAACAGACTGTGTTCCACTTTTTCTCCAACATCCCAATATTATCAGATCATGTCCCAAGTATACAGTACATACCTACCATGTTGTTGGACATCAGCCTGCATTTCAATACATGCAGACCATGTTACAAAGCTTTTTGATACTGAACTTTTTTTCAGATACTAATACTACTTGATCATGTAATGTGTTTAGGTGATCTGAATCCCATTTATTAAACCATGCATCAATTTCCTACAGAAGTCATTGTTTCAAATATCTCAAGTTTCTAAATGTTGTGTTGTACACAAGAATTCAAATTTAGTTAAGATGGCATTGCATCTGATTCTAAAAGAATTGTTTTTGACATGCATTGTTTGCTAGAATGCATTTATATTTAAAATATCTGGCAGTCATAACCTTTATATAAACCTAGCAAAGCCATTAAAATAGTTTCTTACATTTCATTTATTTTGCCTTCCATTTACTCCTACACTCTTTTCATATAACAAATATTTTGTCAGCAGATGTCCAAGGCGATGGCACATACCACCTCAAAATCTTGGTTCCCAGTGTGGCATCAGGAGCCATCATTGGCAAGGGTGGCGAGACAATAGCCCAGCTGCAAAAGGAAACAGGCGCTCGGGTTAAAATGTCCAAAGCTAACGACTTCTATCCTGGTGCGTTGAATAGTGGTGTGTTATTTAGGGTGTCTTCCCTGAATAACTAAGTTATATAATCTCTGAAAAAAATTATGGGGAATGGTGGGAGGTGGTCTCACTCACTATCTTGTCAATGAGTTTATTGGGAAGCTTTTGGCTGTACTAGCTTGTTCATATTTTAATAAAAATCTTGGTGATGCTCATGAGCTATAGTAATCTTGATTAAAAACATGTATCAAGTAGTGAGTAACTGCAACTTCATTTTCATCAACTTGAACAATAGAATATTCTATTGATAATTTCACAAATATAAAATTGTTTTATGAAAACTTATGTAGTGACAATCTCTAATACTGATTTTAACATTAATTCCCATATTTGACCACCGGGAAATTGTTAATTTTTTTTTTATTTTGTGCAGGCACGTCAGAGCGTGTTTGTCTCATAACAGGCAATGTTGATGCCATTCTAACCGTCCTCACATTTGTCATGGAGAAGATCAAAGAGAAGCCAGACCCTAATGCTAAAGTGGACTTTGATGGCAAAAACTCAGCTGACCGTGAGAAGCAGGTCTGTGAACAGTCCTTTTTGTGCCACTCACATTATAATTGATTATTGGGAATTATGCGTTTTCTGTGAAACCTCATTGTATAATATGCTAATCATATTATTACTCAAGACCACTATGAACTTTCCAAGCAGTGCTGAGTCTCAGAATTTTTTGATAAATTATAAAGGCTGAAAAATAATTTTTAAACTTCTGTCAGTGTAATTCAGATATCAATCAATACTCTCTGACTGTCCAGAGCTGTATCCATTGCTTGAATTAATTACAGTCAAATGACCGTTATTTGAATTTAAATGACTAAGTTACTGTCATTTATACAGAGTTTGCTTGAGGTTGCTTAGACAGTCTTTATTTGACTGAGGAAAACTTGCTGTTTTTAGCTTATTTTCTCATTTATGGAAAAAAAGCGCTATTGTGCTCGTCATGTCCGTCTGTCTCTGTCTGTCTGTCTGTCTGTGACTTCACGTTTTTGTCGACGTGAAAATGTGCTCTCTGTCACTCACTTAAGTGAGTACTGAGTTATATTTTTTCATTCTTTTCCTATTTGTTTTCATTTTTATTTTATTATTATTTTTTTTTACTGAGGGAGTCTGAGTGACAGACACAGTAAATGTAAACAAATATTTAATTTGCAGCTCAAGATTTTGGTACCTAACAGCACAGCAGGTATGATCATTGGTAAGGCTGGAGCTTACATCAAGCAGATCAAGGAGGAGAGCGGCGCCTACGTCCAGATATCTCAAAAAGCTAAAGATCAAAGTTTGGCTGAGCGATGCATCACCATCATTGGTGAGTAGATTCAGATGGAATTTTATTCATGTATATTGTGTTACTTCTATCTGAATAAATCGATCAATGCCATGACAACAAAAAGATTCTGATAGAGAGAGATTCAGACGGTTGTCTATTGTCCCACAATTATTAAATATTTGTTTGTAGCTAAATTTATTTTCTCATTCATAACTGTTGTTTTTGTGTAAAATAGTTCTTCCTCTTTTATTCTCAAGATTCTTTGAAAGTTTTATTGAAATAAAATTTTTGTGATTCTAAATTAATATTGCCATCTCTCCATCCTCATGAACCTGCTGCAAAAGATAGAGATAACCAAGTTTTCCTTCCTATAGTGCAAGTGTTACTGTTATGATGTGCAAGTGTTCCCTCTCACTGTTCTCACCTTACATGTTCCCTCTCACTGTTCTCACCTTGCAGCAAGTGATGCAGAAAATACCAAGAACGCGGCACTCATGGTATTGGCCAAGATTGTAGAGGATCCTCACTCTGGCACCTGCCTCAACGTGAGCTATGCTGACATCAACGGACCCGTGGCTAACCCTAATCCAACCGGGTCGCCGTTTGCCAACACACCCATGGCTCCCCATTCTCCCAACGGGTCGTTTCATCAAAACAACAACGCAATGGCAGCTTCTGCTGGTGCTGGGATAGGTTAGTGGTATATCTGCATTCTGGTCTAAAAGTAGGTGCTATAATGTCAATTCCACAATTTTGTCTCCTGCTTGACTTTTTTATCTCTTATTATAGAGCCCTACTTAGATATGTCTGTGTAGGTATACTTTTTTTTTAATGTTGGGGGCAAATAAATGTTTTAGTTGTGGAATTATAATATCTAATTCTGCTCGTGTATTTCAGTTTCAGGCTTGAGCAGCCTGTTGGGAGGTGGGGTGAACCTCACCCTAAACCTGTCCTCAGCGTTCCCTGGTGGAGGTGTGGGTAACCCCATCATAACTGGGCAACTGCTGGAACACGTGAGGACCGTGCTACGTGGCGCAGGTTTCTCTGAACCGTCAGGTGGGGAGGTGTGTGGTGCTATAGCCACACTCATCAACTACGGCATCATTGGTCTGGGTTTGGGTCTCGGTGGAGTCCCAGGTTCCAATCAAGGCAACCAGCACATGATGCAGCCGTTGATGGGCTCCAACAATGCTGACTCTTACCATGGCGGGGGTGGCGGAGCTGGTAGCGGCGGTGGTGTCAGTAATGGCAACAACGGTCCGTTTGGTCCTATCGGCACAACCGTTGCTTCTGGGCTCAACTTGGGACAAGGCCTGGGAGGTCCCACTTCTCCTCAGCGCCAAGTTGACCGCTTTGGCACCGGGGAGTCTTACGACCCCTTCAGGCGACAGTCTGGAGACACCAACCTGCCCCTCAACGCAAACTCTTTTGGCTTGGGAACGCCCCTCAGGAAATCTCCTACACCTGGTGACTTGGCTGCTGGAGGAGCGGCTGACGCGGGAACTGCCAAGGACGTAGAGATGGAAGTGGGCGAACACATCGTTGGTGCTATCCTGGGCCCTGGCGGGAAGAATCTGGTCGAGATCCAGCACTTGTCTGGCACCGTCATCCAGATCTCTAAGAAGGGTAACTATGCGCCTGGCACCCGTAACAGAGTCGTGACCATTTCGGGCCGCAGTGCTGCCGTTGCTCGCGCTCAGTTCCTCATAGAGCAGCGCATTTCTGAGGAAGAGAGCAAGCGGGCAAGGCAGAATGCAATCATGACCTCCATGAACTGAACACCTCATCAACCTTCACTTAACATAGTCAGGCGCTCGCTCTCTCATCTCCTTCACAGCATTTGATCCGTCTCATGAAACCCCGGACATCAGCTCGCCACCTTATCATGTTACTTTGGTTGGCTTCTTCGTGGCCGTGGGCTCCTGTTGTTTTTAATACGCATGACATCGCTCACCATCAAGTATCCCCGTGTTGACGCCACGTGACAGACGTCGTAAACTTCATCCTGCAGTGCGTTCTCACTTCTCTCGATCGCCTTCACCGAGCCTGCGCCTCTTCAGTTCTCATGCCATTGCACTTATCTTCTTTTATTGATATCATGAAAAGAATAACTTTTACGATGCTCTCATGGAACCAGTTGGACAACAACCCCTCCTCCTCCACCTCATGAAGCTCATTTGTTTACGCACTCGTATCATCTTCTTCAGTGTTATTTGTAGAGTTGTTGGTATGCCACAGAAGTTCTTGTATTCTTTCAAGAACACAAAGAGGTTCTTTAAGGTGGAGAATGTGTGAGTTATATATTCAGTAATATATAAATACTATCTATCTATTCCTGCGTTTCCGTTAGCTTAGTAAGAGAGTTATTCATCTAGAGTTTGGCTTTGAACGAATGGCCATCATTGGCTAACGACTTGTTGATTTCGTTTTAAGAGTTGATACGAAGCCACGACTGCTTTGGGGTGTTTTCTGTTGTTGAGTTTGATCTTTTTAGCGTGACGTTTTTTTTAGTAGTTTATCTTCAAACATACTAAATCATTTCATTGTATCGCAAGCGCTCGGTAGAGGGAGTGCCTTCATGTCTTTGCACGCTGCCTGCATATTCGTCACCTCTTTATTTTTTGCCCCTTTTACAGTAAATTTAATATTGGCAAGTGTTAATGAGTAATGAAGCTCACATTTTTTACTGAAATTTTGTATAAGCTAAATCAAAATTTAGTTTAAATTAATTATAATGTGGCATATATTGATGAATTTGGATGCGTCTTTACCATCAGCACATTAATAAATTTATGGAAGCCACACAAATGATTTCCGTTGTGTGTGATTTCGTTTGTCACTTCTTTCCATTAATGGTATTTGTAGAGATGATTAATAATGTTTCTTTTGATACAAGCAGCATGCGAAGGCAAAAGGCAAAGCTGGGGCTCGGAGATAAGATCTTATATTTCATCGCAAATCGCTCATATGGTAAAATTCCGCACCTCCATCTATTTCACCATTGTAAATATGGAGAGAAATATTTTTTGATCATTTCAGTGTACATAACGTTCATTCGTTTCATTTCCACAGTTGTTCATTTGAAATTTTACGAAGTGGCGCTGTTGAGATCCTCTTTTTATCTTCGTGAGTAAGGCAATATTATGTGTAGTTAGCTACATCAAAACGCTCTTAAATAGCTGTTTGCTAGTCTGTCCTTTATTCTATTAAAGTTTTTGAGATGGTTGCAATTTTGCGGAACTTTATGGACTTCTAGAACTAGAAATGATTACTTTGTTGAGAACATAATCAGTCTATGGTGCGATGTCTTAAGGTAACTTAACTTGTGTTACTAGCGGTAGAATGGTAGCGGCTAGCGATAAGGTAACACCTAACACATGCCCTCTACTGATCAAGTGTCTTTCACTGCAGATTTTCATGCGCGTTATTTGAACTTTCAAAACATCGCTCTGACTCCAAGATTTACAGAGAGGAATTTTTCATGATCGAAGTACCAATGGCATGAAGATTGCTAATGTTACGTGCATGATTCTTTAAAGTTAACAGAGTACAGAACTCCTGCGCATTCAAGTTAATTTCCATACTTGTTTTTTTTTTCTCCGGGTTTTGAAGACTGATTTTCTATGTTTTTTATTTTTCAAATCTTTTTTTGTTTTGTTACGTACAAGACGACGGGATTTTTCATAGCACTGACTTTACTCGATCACATTCAATTGTTGAGCAGTGAAGTCTCGTATCCTTTCGGTGACCATTCGAAGTTAACTTTGTGTTACGAAAATTTTCTTTTATTGTTCATCAACGGTAATGTTTGTAAATGCGATGTGCTCTCTATCGTTCATTTATCGTGATCATTCACATCGAATACTATTCACTCAGACGCGTAATCGATGCGATAAGCACTCAAGCCGCATTTCATGATATTCAAACATTCTAAAATTCTTCATGGAAACCTCTAATTTTGCATCATTTCTAATTAGCATTTCATTTTAAAATAATTTAATGGTGATATTTACGTGAGAAGATACGAACCAAACACACGAGTTCCTTCAAATGAACACGTCTTATTATTTCGCGTGTGTCTGATCCTTTCACATCATCTCTACTACTAGTTCTATTACTTCACAAGCTTGTTTAGGGTATCACTGTACTCAATGGGTAATAAATGTTGACGCTACTGCTTTTTTGCGTTGTCATTCTTACCTCGTTCCCGCATCTCATCTCATGCTGTACATCGCTCGTCATCACCGCACTCCAAGATCGTCAACCTCAAACTTGTTGCTCTTGAAAAACTCCTTCATTCATCCCAGCTCGGTGACGCTCCACAACGAACTAATTGAACCGAACGAATCTGTCCTCTGAAATCTGATACCTGCTACAAGATGTCTTCACAAAATTCTTCATCTATTTTCCGACCCTGCGAATCCCACCTAATGCACCAGAAGCAAAATGAGCATTGGCAACAGTGGCAATTTCATTGCATATTCACTTGCAGTTTGTCTCGCAGCCGCTCTCACCTCACATGTTCTTCATTTCAGTCGATTTCTCTACCCAGTCCGGATTTTGGTGCCCAGATCCTCTAATTTATACCAACGCTGAGATTTGTTTCACTATTTCTGATGCTTGGTGCGTTTCTTGCTATTAAAATGTGTAATCATTATCACTCCTCGTAACTGGTTCGTAAATTTTGACTTGAATTTGAAATTCTTATCACAAATGCAGTGCGTTTTATACCACTTTCATGCTGACATCTTGATCTAAGAAATGCTTGTGTCTCATAATCAGCCACATATAATAATATTCAGAGCAATAGAAAGTGTTCATTTTTATTAGTTTCTCATTCCGATAACGGTACGCGGTTTTATTTATGTTAACCCTTGATTATTCTCATCTTTAGTTAAGTAGATGGGTGTTTAAGAGTCTAAAGGTTCTGAAATTTCGAAGTATTGTATACCCATGATTTTGAACTTCAGTTTCACACGACTTCACTTTCAAACGCGCTTGCCCTGTAGCATCAAGTAATAATTATTGATTTAAATTCCCAAGTCTCTGGTCGTTTATAATTATTTTGGGTGAATTACATCAGAAAATGTCTGTTCTGCGATGGGAAATAATGGCTACGCACTATTTCTTCAAAATTGTTAGAGCAAAGCCACACTTGCTCGCTTTTTTTTACAAACTGTGAACTGTGTTAACTAAGGAGAACATTATGAGTGTCACCACTACCATCATCATCCTCACCACCACCATCATACTCCACTACTCGTCTTCTCAGTGAGTACACCTCTTTGTGATCAGTCTATCTTTTGAACATATTCATGTGTCATTCATCTACTCCTGTAGACTCTAGGACAGCTTCACTAAATGTTATCACCTCTATTTACGAGCACTATTAACCTAATACTACGCAAATCGTTTATAGTTCTGAAGTAAAGAATAGTTTTCTCTTGTATTTTACCAGTTGATTGTTACTTAACAGAGTTTATTGGTTGTTTTGTTTTGTCTGTGAAATATGACGAATATTATTGTTGACACTAGACATTTAAGGTAGTTTTTAGGCTTCCGTTAGACGTTGTTAACTAACTCGGGTCTCTTCTGCCAGGTGTGGAGCTACCCTCAGACGGCGGCTGAAACGAGCTTTAGAACCCTGTAGGGATCGTTGTGTAACATGCCTGAACCCTCTCTCGCTCTCTCGACCTCTGAGAATAAAACGAGATGGTTTTTCAAAGAACCCACTAACTCGAATCATGCTGGGTGTGCTCTCAGTCGATGTGATTAACGGCCTGTAAATTTCCATTATGGTGCACATAGATCAGATGCAGAGAATAAACGAGGTGGTTTTTCAAAGAACCAACTAACTCGAATCATTCAGGGCGTGCTCTCAGTCGATGTGATTAACGGCCTGTAAATTTCCCTTATGTTGCACATTGACCAGATGCTGAGAATGAACGAGATGGTTTTTCAAAGCACCAACTAACTCAAATCATGCAGGGTGTGCTCTCAGTCGGTGTCACTATCGGTTTGTAAATTTGCACATTGACCAGATGCAGAGAATAGACGAGATGGTTTTTCAAAGAACCAACTAACTCGAATCATGCAGGGTGTGCTCTCAGTCGATGTGCTTATCGGTCTGTAAATTTGCACATTGACCAGATGCAGAGAATAGACGAGATGGTTTTTCAAAGAACCAACTAACTCAAATCATGCAGGGTGTGCTCTCAGTCGATGTGGTTATCGGTTTGTAAATTTCCCATATGTTGCACATTGACCAGATGCAAATTGTTTTCGGTGAATTAACGAACCTCGAGTTCCTTATTCTAAGTGCGGACAAACTTGAGAAGTTTTAGCCCAAAGTCCGAGCGCCGAAGCCGATGCGCTATTGAGGCATAGGAGTTTTTCATTCATTTGTTTGCTTCTAATTGAATATCTTGCGCTACATTGGGTGCTCTATGACTACTTCACTTTGTGCGTGTATTCGGGGAAACTTGTTAACGTGTATTCCCCTTCCAACTCCCCGTATCTGGCTGGCATTGGCCACGAAATAAATTACAGTTTTCGTGTTTTTTCTAGTTTACTATATCTTAGAGAATGCATAGCAAAATTTATTTTTATGTGGTTGCAAGGGAATTTTTTTCTTGAACATACGGATCGTTATATTTTTTAAGTTTCCTTACCATACTTTCGTTGCGTTGAGTATGTTTTGTAGATTGCTATCACCCGCCGCTCGATGATAGTCTTATCTGTCTTTTTTGCATGCACTAACGATGTTCAGTAGTTATAAGTTTATTGGCATTATACCCTGTGGCGTTACAGAATATTTTCACACAATACACTATATTTTTCGAACTGAAGACTTCATTTATCCCTGTCAAGGCCAGCAAACAACGGTCTTATCGAGCGTACAACATTAAACGGACATTTCTGTCCTTACCACCAGCGATTGGACTTGTTTGATTTCGTCTCGTGGTGGTGTTCGTGTTGTTTAGAGGCTCAAGCACTTTTTGTTTTGTGATAAAATTGCGCGTTTAAATATATATTTGTCATAGAAGTACTAAAATTGGAAGTAAAACACTGTTGCACACTGACAATTGAAGCTGGAATTCGATTAGAAAAAAGTCTTGTTTAAGCATTGCGCGTGCTGCTCGAATAATTCATCGCCGTTATGATTTCTATTTAATTGCATCTTTATCTCCATAGGTTGGACATGTTATATTCGATTGTTCCTAATAAGATCTTGACACAAGCTCTATGCATTGCCGCTAGGTTTGCAATTAGGTTTGCAATTTCTTAACCTTCTTGTCTACTTAGTTACTAGTCGTAATCTTTTTGCTAAAATACTATGACCGTCACCATTATTATTCTAATCAATTGGCCTTCGTAATTAGACGTTAGTAGATAAAAGTTTAAGATGCGTGCAGCATTGAGGACAGTTTTTTCACGTCTGTAATAACTGCTGCCTGCCTGAACCTACTATCGAGGGCTTTCTCTTCAATTTAATCTTTAACGCCAAGCATTTGATTGAATGAAGCTGAAAGCGCATACCATATCAGTAAACACTTGCTATTCGGCACTATCGATGACGCTATAGTGATGTTGATAAGGGGCGTTACTGTGCTCCGTCACTCTAGCTAGAGTTGTCCTGCCTCAGTCACGTGTAGTGTTGTGATGAAAGCCGCGTGACCATTTTTCTAAACAGTGTCGTACTGAGACGCTGTTGACTCTAGAGAGCTGTCGTGATCTGCTGTAACAACTTCGCTGCTTTAGAAGCAGACGTGTACGTCTTCCTCCATAAACAAGTAAGCGGTGAGAAGCGTGTGATTGTCTTTTACGCAGTAAGTTCACTTGTTCTTTCTGTTATTTAGTAGGTTCACTTGTTCTTACTTTTATTTATTGGTAGTGATGTTGGTCGAGCATTATGATGTTGACGTGATTTTCTTAGCTCGTTTCCACCTTAGGGTGAGTATTTCATGAGGTGAGTAATTTTTAAAAAGAATTAATTGATTTAGATTAGAATTTAAGATTGGGTGCTGCATAAATTATTATTTTAGAGTAATTCTTTTACGATGCCTATGCAACAAATAATAATCAGTCGATCTTTTACTCTTCGCATTCGATTATACCGAGTTCATTTTGTTATTCATTATAAAGAATAATTTGTACAGCAATTGGCCTTGCTGCCGAGACCTTGTACGCTCACTTTCCCGGAACACAATAATGAACGAAGGTCGGAACTTCTGTCAAACATTTTGCTAGTCTTGCGTTCGTTTCCGAGAAATTCCCTCAGCGTCTGCGACTCCGCGCGCTGTCATCTGTGTGAAGGTCAGCAGTTCAGCTGTAGACTTGGACGGAAGAAGTACATGAAATCAGTTCTCCCGCATTATCTCTTCAGATAATCTCAGATGGCACAGTTTGTGAAGAAGTGGATAGTGATTTGCGCAATAATTTGTTTTAAAAACAACTCAATTGAGGCCCAAGAAAGTGAGTTTGTTATATCAACTACAATTATTTCTTATTCTGCTTTCATCTTTATAATTCATGCAAGCAAACCCACTTCGTGACCCTAGAGTGTATGGCCGTCTTTGTAATCTTGCTTGTCATCTTTTCTTGTGATTACGCACTAAAGGAATATTAAAGTTGCCCATTAGTGCCTTTGGCTCTTATCTTGTAGAAAATCAATAACTAGGAACAACTTTTATAAATTAGAAACTCTACATTTCCTAAATTGTAGGTAAAAAAGTCGCACGGTAAGATAAAAACTAGGCTATGGACCATTAAAAGCATTAAACTTTCAATGTAAATTTGCAAAATTGATCATAGACTCGACTGGGTGGTCTTTATGTCCCCCTCAATTGTACTGCTAACACTCTGGTCAGGTCTACTCCCAATTTTTCAGCCTTGAACTTCAGCATTAGTATATTCATGTCTATACACTAAGAAACCGTGCAATTAGTGTCGTAAAATTATTCGACAAGGAGTCCTCAAAACTAAAACATCTCGCTTGAATTCGAAGTAGTTGGAGTTAACGTGAACATTTTTATCGACAGATACCCTAACGATGGCGTCAACTGAGCCTCTGGCTTCCAGTTTGGAGGAATGGGCTACGGCCTTCTTGAGCTTCCTAAACGATGGAAACTACAACAACCCGGAATCGTCATCTCAACTGTCCGTCCGTAACCTAGAAAATCTCTACAGGCTGCTCTTTGTTCCCGAACAACGCGGCGAACAGCAGACGGTGTTCGGGCAACCGCCTTCGCCTAATGACGTCATCAAGCAACTGTTGGACTCGGGAAAGCTAATTCAAGACGATAATGGCAAGGTCCAATTTGGGCAGCCTCCTCCTTCAGCGGCTCATAAGTGATTTCGATCTTTGCCTTGGTCAGGGAACACTTCTGACTTTATGACCACTCAACAGTATTGACACCAACAAAATATCGATTAAATTAAATAAACTTGAATAATTTTTATACTAGTCACTCATTTTGCAGGAGAAAATAACATATTCTCAAACACGTTAGCATTCGATTTAAGTGCATCAGACTCATGATATACGTAGTCGACCTTTGCTTTGATGGGTTTTCAATTGGAGCAGTGAATTAACCTTCCACTGGGGCATCAACATTTGTATCGCCAGAGACCGAAAACTTTCATTAATTGGCTAATGAAGGAAGAACAGAAGGAATGTGGAGGCGAATGAAGACAAATGACATTACATTGCTTGATTCATATAAAAAATACACGTTTGAATACTTTCAGAATATAACGACATATTATTACTGTTAACAGTGTTTAAAATTACGACGTTATACTTACCTCCTTACGTCAATATTTTCTCTTTCATTTAATTAAAACAGATGACCTTGGAACTGAAATATGCTCGAAGAGAACCAGTTGCTGTAACAGTAAGGTATCAAAAAAGAACATGATAATCTAACCCAAGAACTTTCATGACCTGCAAGCCTTACAAACGCGCGAGATAACGGGAATACTGCCGAGTAAGAAAGTATATAGGCAGTTACAAGATTTGTCGAAAATCGATTGAAGCTGAAACCAAGTTTGCAATGAATCGAATTGAATATCAAATCTCGGTGGGCTTCATTCCCCAGTATCATAGACCACAAGTAGAACATGCCGATAAGTAGAACAGCAAACATTTTCATTAAAATTAAACATAAAGTTGTATTATCAACTCCCCACGTTCAAGGCGATATCTATATTCAACCATCACAAAGGTCACAATACGAAAGAAAACTAGAAAAAATATAACGAAAGAAAACGTTAGAAGTTATTCGTCCCAGCCTCTTGCATCTATGGAGCTCACTAAATTTCAAACGGAGCAAACTTGCCAACGGAGTCGACAGACGTTCCTCTGTCCACAGGAGATTCTCTACCATTATATCAAACAATACGAGACAACAGAAAATATATATATCTACATATATATTCTTAAATTGCGCTCCATCTTTCCAGGAGGAAGACATCTTTGGCCCTCCTGTGCCAAGAACACAATTTTTAATACTAGTTTGCTTTTAAACAGTTCCGAAAAGTTAACAAAGTAACAACAATGATCAATGGATGTCGAGGTCACAGGCGGCTGTTAACCAACATCGTTAACGCTGTACACTTCAGATCATACAAGAGAAGTTCTCTACCGGAAATTTCGTCACTATCAAAGCAAACGTTCAGTGACGTTTTTGACAGAACAGTATGCAACCTTTCAAAATTCACCAAAACGTTTTTCGAGAAGCGATGCAAACTGATGTTGATTCCGATTACTAATCTTTTTTTTCTTAGTGGTCGAAATTCAATAAGAAGCCTAAGCTACCATTAAAATGGGGCCTTCCTGTGGCCGCACGTAATAGCAATAAATATTCGAGGGTCTTTTGCACTAGTGCAAATTTTCTGAACCAAAATACCCGTTTGATGAGAAACTACACATGAATGTTACATTATGAATATTCAGCCACTGAATTAATCGACTCTTACATTGGCCAATCATATTTGAACCTATTAATTATTAGCTAGACTCTCGAAGCTACACGCACTGCATTTCTGTAACAGCTGATGCAATGAATATAAAATCAAGATACTAAGTCACAGATCACTTATGTGGCAGAGGATTCAACCTCGGTTCGCCAGCTCCGTCAGGTTGATATCCAGTGTGATGAATCTCGGGCGAGTAGGTGAGCAGCACGATCAGCACCCAGAGGTGCAGCAACAGCATGTAGAGCAGCACGATGATGCGAGCTACAGGATACCGACGCAGAAATAGGCCTAGTGATACGGAGAATCTATCCAGAGATGAGTAGGCCCGTTTCACGCGCCTCGTCACCCCGCCGTCAAACGGCGATTCTACGAGCAGCGTAGGCACCGCGCGACTGCGCACTGCAAATGACATCATATTATTTATTATTTGATATTATTCATATAAGCGTATCATACATTTGACAGAATTTATTCCCACGCTTTGGTGTAATGTTATCAGGAAGGAGAGATAAGTGTTTTAATTTAGTAATTAACATCAATAACGACATTTGTAAAAGGCGTGACAAGCTTAAATTGCGACCAGTTAAAGTGGAAAACAAATGAAAAAATTTGGGATAAGAAACATTAATCTATGGCTAACGGGAAAATTTCAAATGGCATTTATTTGCCTCATTCCGTAAGCTGTTGTCCTGTTCAATATACTCTGCACGTTCGTTGTGGTATCCATTATACTGACTTTGTTCTCTCGCATGACCAAAACTTTTTTTTTTTTTAAACACAACCGCTAATAAAAAGACCGACAAAAAAGAGTTCAGCTGAGTTTATGAAATCCTTCATATCTCGAGTAACGACCAAATCGTGCACTGCGGCTCATAGAGCTACCTCAATATAGCAATTGGCATTCGCCGCAATGCATTCAGGTTACGAGAATTTACGTTTTGAGGATTGCATAAATTGGTTGATTGTACTGTTTCTTTCTTAGTCAAGCAATATATTTCTTTTATGTAAATTAAATTCATGAAGTAGGTCATCATAAAAAAAGGAAATGAGATTTTTGAAGGTTACTTTAAAATTACTAGACTTACGGTCATCCATGGGTATCGAGAGAGGAGCGTCGCGGCCAACCGGTAAGTGCGACTCTTGCTGGTGTTGTTGTTGCTGTAGACGAAAATAAAAGTTAAAGGCTGACTAATGTGGTAAAAAAAAGTTGTATTGATACATACCATCAAAAGAATAGAAAATTCACTGGACTAATTTCGTTATGAGAGTTAGGAGAATTTTTTTTTTTTTTTTTTTGGTCATGCTCACCAGCACTTCAAAACAATTGATCAATTTGACACACTCCGTGCATGGTGCCGACCAAAACACTTGCCTACCCAATCAAATACCCGTTACTTTGTACAAATTAGGTCGGGCCAGAGAACTAACACAAAAAAGAGTGGCGACCAACGGAACAAAGATAAAGATTAGGAACAGAATGGCCGAAAAACTAACACAAAAAAATGCGAGATGATCAATGAAATGAAATAAAGGATTACAAACAGAACGAAGCAACTGGATAATCTGTCTAAGACAGAAAACACCCGACAATCAATGTAATAACATTGAAGAATACAAAGCAATAGAATCATCGGTTCGACACACACAACGTGAGAAGATCAAAGAAATGAAACAGGATTAAAAACATAACGAAATAACGGTATTATCCGTCTACACACCTGCAGCCTTGCTAGCTGCATGCTGCGGACTTGCAGCTCGGTGTTGAGACCATCCACTTGGCTCTGCTTCTGCAGCAGAGACTCTGTCAGACTTTGCACGCGTCTCTGTAGCTCCTCCACGCCTTCCCCGCCATGCTTTGGACTCTGACGCGATGCAGACTGCAAATAAAGCAACGTGGTTTACATGGTAATGAATTTACGTATTGAATATTACTGGTAAGAACAACGATTAGAGGGCGTTAAGTCCAAAAGTCGCTATTATGCTTTGGACTCTGAAGCGATGCAGACTGGAAATTCATTAACATCGTTTTCATGGTAATGAATTTACGTATTGAATATTACTGACAAGAACCACAATTAGAGGACGTGAAATCAAAAGTCGCTATTATGCTTTGGACTCTGGAGCGATGCCGACTGGACAGTCAGTAACGTCGGTTATGAATTTACGTATTGAATATTACTGATAAGAACCACGATTAGGGGAGGTAAAGTCAAACGCTATTTATCGTTAATTAATTGATGGGTTTAGCGTGAAAAGCTGTCAGTGATTGGCTGACGGAGCTTCAAACTAGTAACCATTTATGAAAGCTGTGCCCTACAACCACAATCAGATATGGAATAAAGGCCTCGCGCTTCGAATTCGCATTAAAATTATTGTCAGAAACATGTTTAAACTAATACCAACAACAAAAGTAAACGTAATTTCGCAATTTAAGATGAAAAACAGCAGGAATATTGATAACATTAATCAAAACGAAGTGTGGAAGGATGAAAATCGCTTGTATTTATATTTGAATGCGTCTCTTGTTAAGAATTAGCGTCAAATTTGTTAATAAAATGTCGAATCTGAAGTTTATTTTAGAAGTACGCTCAGTGAGAGCCTCAACTCACCTGTCTTCTCAGAGAGTCTTGCTGAAGCTGCGCCTCCTGGACGAATGCCGCGTGCCTCACTTTTTCTCTAGTTAGTTCCTCTTGTAAACATCGTGCCTCCTGAATAGAAGGGAAAACTTTACAAATATTTTTCACAGAATCATGATAGTTTTCCTGAAATATTTTAACTCGAATGCATACAAAACTTTATCGGAAGTGTCACCGTGAAATTTTTCCAAGTTCAACCTAGAACTGGATTTATTAATCAATAAAATAACAATACAGAGTATTGAATTAACTATAATCTAAGTAAAGGCGCCACTCAAGGGGTTCATCTCAAGCTAAAGCATAATCATCTCCCAAACGTAATTGTAGAAAATTCGATAAAGTTTGCTCAGTGAATACCAATTTTTCAATGCGTATAACCAAGTAAAAATAACGAAATAAAATTTAACGCAACCAACACATCATAATAAAGGCTCGCTACAGTTAAATATATGGCTGGTGTATTTCAATGTGTAATGCATAAATCTGCATGTAAATTATAAAACATAAATTGAATTTAATAAAATTTAATGTAAATTGAGTTACTGAGCATTGTTTTTAGCGCATTTTCTCATTTATAGAAAAAATGCACTATTGTGCTCGCCATGTCCGTCCGTCCGTGACCTCAAGTTTTCGTCGACGAAAAAATGCGCTCTCTGTCACTCACTGCAGTGATTACTGAGTTATATTTGTTTCTTACATTTCATTTAGTGTGTTTTTCTTGACATTTAAGCAAAAATTTTAGAGAAATGCACGCATTGTAAGTTACACAAAAATTTGTGTGTGTTCAACTAACCTGCCGCGCCTGCCTGTTCTCCTGTTCCAGCTCATCCTTGAGCTGACCGAGCTGAACAAGCTGCTCATGAGCATCGCTCAGAGCTGAACTGTGACGCGCTGCCTCCTGCTCAGCGCAACGTTCCAGCTCTGATAACTCTGAGCGCAGTCTGCTCAGCTCTGCTCCGCTTCTTTCTAGCTCTGAGCGACACAGTGACAACTCTGCTCTGTAAGTAAATTTTAACTTTTTTCAATTATGCGTTATATGTCAACTTCAATCAATGTGATTATGTTTACTATCATAGCAAAACAGGGCTGAATACTAGAATTACCATTCGAAATTTCAAGATACCCCATCAATACTTAGATTCTTCTTGTCCGTGTTCAGTTATTGGGTGATATTATTTACTTACACATTGGTACTTTCTTTCTCCATCAAATAACATCCGTTCAGCAATTATCACAATAAACTTCATCTATTGGATTTGTCTATCGTTTCAAAATCCCAATAAACTTACCTGAGATAACACTTATTTTACTTCCAGCATTCAATAGAAGAAAGAAGCTTACACTGCACAGCTAAAAAATGGATTGCGAGTAACGCCCACGTGGTCAATACAGGAACATTATTGTCCGGTGTCAATTCACTTGACCTGATAGAGATTGAGGACGAGTCAACATCTGATAGACACGTGATAGATCACGCGATCAAGACCTCAGTAGTGGGCGGAAGCGAAGCTTATAAAAGGTCTAGCAACCTTAAGCAAACCCCACAGTAGCTGATGAGCACTCCACGATGTAGCGTGTCGGTAGAGTTCTCCGACCTAATTACGGTCGATGCCGTGGCTCATAACTCTGTATCGCAACTCTGTATTACCACCCCGTATACAAGATACTTTATCAGGACTTATGTGTCTTACTTATCCCTCACTACCTTAGTCAACGAAGAACCCGATCCTCAGGTAGAGCTTAATATAAAGAGCTCAATTTCAATATCATAGTTTGTAGTAATTTACAACCTGTGACATTACCAAGCAATTTGCTTCGTACTGTTGATTAAAATTAATTAAAACCAACCTGGTTTGTTTTAATTCAGTGTCCAGTAAGGAGTAGTTTGGATCAGCGTGTAGACCAGTGCTGTCACCAGATCCTTTTTTGAGAGCCTCAATTAGAGCCTCCTTGCTGGAGAGAATGTGCCTTGCTTTGGCCTTGTAGCTCTCAAGCTCTTCTCTTGCCGCTGTAGCCTCACTGCGAAGTGCTGAAACCTGCGTAACAATAGCAAAATTTAAAATATTTTCAAACACTGCATGAAATGTGTTGCTTGTCCTGGTAGTGGAAACTAGGTTAGAGGAGGGAGGTAATAGGTCAGTTTTTCACGGCACTAATACAACTATTGCAGTTCCACGATCAAATGAACTAAGCCGTTTTTATCAATCATGAAATGTACAAGGCGTGGCATGCTTAAAGTGTGGCCTGTTAAAGTGGGAAACAAAATGAAAAAGTTCGGCAAAAGAAACATTAATCTGTGGCAAACAGGAGAAATTTTGCGTCATCAATCAACATTTAATTCCGTCTAACAAATTGAACGTTGAAACAAGTCTCGGTGCAGAAGCATTCCAGTAATAATGAGACTAACTTTATTACTTGCATCAAAAATTTAGACATGAGAACATGACAGCATCAGAATTTGGTGCCATGAGTGATGAATGGAAAGCCTACAAGCCACCAAATCCATACAACAAAACCAGAGCATAATGACAAAATCATCTTGTTCAAAGCAAAACTCTTAGGATGTGAATATTCAAAAGCTTGGGATGCGAATCGACCAAAGTCTGGGACGTGATTCTTCCAGCGCACAGTGCAAATTGGCCTCAACCTACTCCTTACCCAAAAGCAAAGGTACATACGTACAAATCTTTCCCCATACACCATAAAGAAGCTAAGCACAGCAAAGGCATGCCTTACCTGCGCTTGGTGCACCTCTTGAGCCTGCTGCACTTGCAGTAGCTTCTCGGCTGCAGCTCGCACTTGACCTGCCAAAGCATCGCGCTCCTCCTCCACAACCCGCAGTCTGTGTGTGTATTATTATTACTAATATCATTATTAATATTATTATTAATGCTATTATTAATATTATTATTAATATCATTATTAATATTATTAGTATTTTATTATTATTCTAAAAAACGATTGTCATGCTGTCTTGTTCAATCGAACCTAGAGAGCATGTAACAAATGATGTAGACAGGACACTATTTGACGCTAAGCATTCTTACAATACCTAAACAAACGATTAAAACAATCAGTTAAGACGCAATTATTTGTCAAAGAGAAAGAGAAAAAAATCAATCAATTCCAGCTCTGAATACAGAAACAAGCGAGATTAAACAACCATTGTCCGTACCTGAGCTAGCCAATTGGAAGAATTAGCATTTGTAAAAAGATTTTTTTTTAGCTAAGGGCGTGAACCACTCTCGAAGTAATTCGATTGATGCTGATTAGAATTTAACGAGCCGGCAAGATATTCAGTTGTTCCAAGCTTCTTAAATAAATTAGGTCCTCCAAAAGTATCACTAAAAACTAACTGGTCGTATTGATAAAAACAAAAACAGTTAATAACAAAACACCAGCATGGACGACACAGCAATTTGATGATGTTGTGGTTGTTATAATAACTTTGATGTTACCTATCACTATAATTTTTTTGACCAGGAAGACATAACTTTGGTGTTACCTATCACTATAATTTTGTTGATCAGTACAACATAACTTTGGTGTTTCCTATCACTAAAATTTTGTTGATCAGTACGACATAACAACTAGGTGTTACCTATCACAATAATTTTGTTGATCAGTACAACATAACTTTGGTGTTTCCTATCACTAAAATTTTGTTGATCAGCACAACATAACAACTTGGTGTTACCTATCACTATAATTTTGTTGATCGGTACAACATTAATTTTTTTGACCAGGAAGACATAACTTTGGTGTTACCTATCACTATAATTTTGCTGATCAGTTCTCCGCTGCAGTTGCTCTTGTCGCAGCAAAGCCTCGGCTTCCTCGAGCTGAGCAGAAGCTGTCTGCAGTGTGGTGCTGTGTCGCTCAGAGCTCACTGACGCTCCTTCACATAATCTGCATACAAAACAAATTTCAACATCAATTAAAAAACTACAACTGATCGAGTTTTTGATATGAAAAAATTGTTAAACCAGTGTAAAATGTAATTTTCAATACCAATAAAACACTTTATTTTATTGGTATTGAATTTTGATCTCAATAATTCTAACAACCACACAAAATGTGTGGAATCAAAAATACTAAAAAGGGTAACATTTCCTACATCTTGTGAAGTTTTTGTTTTGGGAGGAGGAAGGAGGATCTAGTCAATCGCAAAATAATTACAAGCCAATCATTCGCTGCAAGTAAAGAATATATTTTTAAAAATCATTCAGGTGTACAAATCTGACCCTTGTTTTGCCTCGTAAAAGAGCTTATGTTCTTCAAAAATTGTTTGTGATCTATGAATTTTTCTACAAATAAGGTTGTAAACTTCTTCATTATTTGGAGTAATTGGAATAACTACTACCACCGTAGTAGTTATTACAATTATTGAACCGATAGTAGAATAACTACTACGACATTGAGCAGCACTTTATCCTGCCACGTGAGACAAGCTCGCCACCAGACCAGGTCTCAAAGTATTACAATCGAACAACTTCATTTGAATGCATCCGCAATGAATTCAACAGGCTCCGTGACACCCCGACAACGCCAAACTCAACGAGACCGTCACTCCCGCTGTGCTGGAGGAACCCACCAGCATCGTCATCTTGCAGTGGTCCGACAACATACGACCGACGATAGCTGAAGGCCTCATCTCTACGCACTGGACTCCCGCTATCCATCTCACAACTACTGGATATTCTAAGCTTTGAGATTGTTTCGGAATTATTTACATGTTCCAAATTTTCGTGTCGTATCATATTTACGCGTCTCATATAGGTACTTACTTCTACCAAAATTTTACTATTCAATTTTACTATTACTAGGTATTCAATTTTACTATACAATGCGGCCTATAACATGAAAATGAATGTTGTCACATTCGAAACGTCGTTAATGAATTAAAATTACTTCCTTAAACCTGCATTTTGATAAACCAACGTCATCTAAAGAAGATTGTTCGATATTGAAAATCAATGCCTTATCTAGCCATTGACCACCCGCATTTTAATCAAACAAAACATTGGACCTTTTTCAAAAAATTCCAATAGAAACTATTTCATTTTGTTTTCTTAGTAATGGATAACAAATTCAATACCAACAAGCATTAAATTCGGGCAACACTATTTTCATATAATTCTTCAGACTTTGCAGCATCGACATTTTTTGTACAAATTTACAACAAATATTAATTTTCTCTAAACAATATCAGATTTACTGTAAGAGGCCAAATAATTCACCTCAAATTTTCCAGTCTGCAGCGTTCAAGTTCCTTGTTTCTGGCCCAAAGTTCTTCCTCTTTGTCCTTTAATCTCAGCTCCAGTGCCTTGAGCTCCTTGCTTCTCTCCACCGCTTCATCCTGAAGAACAATCAATAAATTCACATACCTACCGTAAAATGGGGTAACTTAGACCGGCGGGGTAACTTAGACCACTTTTCGTTTTTTTTACAAAAACTCCCACAACTCAAAAACTATTTGACATAGAATAAATTTTGTCAATGGGCATTAAAGGCCTAATACTGAGGCTACATAACACAATAGAAAGATTTAAAAAGTTTGCATATCTAATAGGTTAAAAAACTTAAAATGTGACCCACGAAAAAAAGCTATTATTTAAAGCCTGTCAGAGTACCCCCTCCAATTTTTTATTTTTTGGTTAAATAACTCCAGGTTTTGATGCATTGTAGTAGAACTCTTCTAGTTACATATGCAAATGACAAATTTTAGGAAAGTGTCATAGTTTGCAAATGGGGGGCGCCGCCCCCAAATGGGGTAACTTAGACCACCTAATGTCAGCCCTGACGGGGTAACATAGACCGGCTTGGAAGTTAATATAAAATTACCATATATAACATATTTTATGTTTGACAGCCTATTTATGTTTTTTCTTTATGTTTCAGACTCTACAGAGTCTTATATATGGTAATTTTAACTTAATATCCAAGCCAGTCAATATTACCCCGTCAGGGCTGCCATTAGGTAGTCACATTTCCCTCATTATGGGGTGGCGCCCCCCATTTGCAAACTATGACACTTTCCTCAAGTTTGTCATTTGCATATGTAACTAGAACAGTTCTACTACAATGCACCAAAACCTGGAGTTATTTGGAATTATTTTACCAAAAAAAATAATTGATTTTACCACCCGGTCTAAGTTACCCCAAGAGCTGGGGTAACAAAGACCATCACTTTTTTTGAAATTACATAAAGACTATGAGAGGCAGGAGCCAGCAATTTATGGTGAGTGAAGCTAGAGTATAGACCTGTATTTTGCATGTTTCAATTCAAGTTTAATTTAGCTAGTAAGAAAATGGCATCATTTATAAGAAAAAAAGTGGTCTAAGTTACCCCATTTTACGGTACTGTTTTTATTTACAGTGTAAACAGTAATTTACATACTGTATTAATTTCCAGTATAAAACAGAAACTCACCTACATAACTACACATAAATTAGATTATCTGAGATTCATTATTCTATTTTGACAGACTTACAATTTTCATCATCACTAAGTCCACGGATGTTATGATCTTAAAGTAGGTATAGTATATTAAAATTAAACCTACTTGTATCATGTAAGGTATGACTTGGAATAGTGACCATATAGTCTTAATGTATCTAAAGATAATTACTTTGACTTTAACCAACACATGTATGAAATTTATCAGTGAACTCATTTTTAACATGGGTTCCCTCAATGGAAACAAGTAAACATGATATAGCAATAAAAAAAATATTGAAACCAAATAATTCGTGATCTAAAATTAAATTATGTTGAAGTATTAAAATAATGTCAATCCATCACTTGAAGCTACAGCAAAAATGTCTGAATGATGAGTGAAATTTTTTTACGTTTGTGGGCCAAGTCATTGAAAATCGCTAGTTTGAAAGCAACTTAGCTACGACAATTTTTAACGATACCATAAATGCAAATGCTAACTTAGGAATTACTTTAGAATAATGATAGAGATTATACCTGTTTCACGATCTTTGACCTCACATACGTATAGAATCGTTTACGACAAATGGCTTAAAATCATGCAGAAAATTATACCTGTAAAAGCATTTCTCGGTGCTGTACTTCACGAAGATTCTTTTGCATTGCACTGAGCTGTTCTGCCATGCTATTGGGGGCAGACTTTGCAGCCTGCAGCTCTATTGTACAAAAATGAAAAAATAATTCAGTATCGTGCTACTATCCTACCACTTTTTTACACGTTTTGTGTATTTGCTGGGCAAATGTTGCAATATTAGCAAAGGCAGTTGAATAATAATTTTCAAACATATATCATTGATGAAGAAGCAACCCTCAGCCAAATTTACTTAATTTGAAGTTCAGTGACACTAAATGAGCTGTAACTACAAATTTAACTGACTCCGAACGGAGCTGTAACTGTAGTACTGTAACTGTAGTTACAGCTCCAAGCTGTAATTACATTAATAACTGACTAAGCCCTCCGAACATAATAATCAGCTCTTTCATTATTATGCCAATCATAACATACCTGAATGGAGGGAAGTTGATTTTCCAACAAGTTGCTTTATCTCCTGGTTGAGGCTCTGGACTTCTTTCTTCAGCAGATCTACTTCACTGATGTCACCCAATGACTGACAAAGTAAATAACCATAATCTGTAACTTGTAAGAGGTAACTAGCTTGGAGTGCCTAATGGTTGTCACCAAGATTTGATCAGCAACTTAGGGTTTTAAAACTAGCAATCATTAGTGAAAATTCAGGTAAAAATCAAGGTGAGGAATTGTTAAGAATAGGCGACAAACCAATGAAGACAAATCAAAGCTTACAATAATAGTAAATATCATTATTTACTATAAAATACAAGTACATCTTCACACTTCTATTCACAAGTTGAAGCTTAACTATGTTGAGCTTGTGTTGTTAATGAAGTATTAAGGTTAAAATTGAAAATCTTCCCAAGGCGGTTGAGCAAGCAGCTTGTAAAAGATTGATATCATAAATGCCAGGGCAGATGCATAAATATGATAAGTTTGTTGATTTCTGATATACATGCAATTTTTTAAAATTAGTAATAATTACAACAGAATTTTTTCCTATTTGAGACCTGCAAAAAGCAAACAATCACCAAACCCAACCTTTAGATAGTTAACTTAATGCAAAAAAAAAACGTGTAGGTATACTAGCAGAGAGAATTCAATGGAAAATTTGAAATTTTACATGGGGAACTGAATCAAGACAGATACCCTGATCAATGGCACAGCCCTCACCCTAGATGCTGTGGTATTTATGGTATCAAGGTCCTTGTGTTCAAGTGTGACATAAGAGTCGAGTTGAGCTGAGACACCAGACCCACTTGATGACACACTGCTGGCACTGCTCTCTGTAACAGTAAGAATATTTGACTGCAATGATTTCAGTGATATATCCTCAAATTCTTTAGTTGATGTCTCTCCTCACACAAATACTTTGGAGATGTTTCAAACTTTACTGGCAATCTCCTGAAATTGACTATAAATTTACCTGCAAAAGTTTTGTAACAATATTATGTATTTGTACAGATTATATAATTTATATTTTTTACCAATATTAATGTTTGTGAAAGGTTGTGTCGGCTCAATATTCCCATCATCAAGCCTGGTAATGCCAGAAGTTGGTAGTGATGGAACAGATGATAAGGATGACTGACGAGAGTGATTGCTATGATTATCTGCTGCCAAGACAACCACTTTGCTAGGTGACCAAACCTGTAAAAATAAAGTTGAATCATTACATTTTATTTAAAAATTTTCAGAGATCAAGACAAGTTACTCAGTAAGTTTCAGTGAAGCATAATGAAAATATAATCACTCAAACCTCTTCCTTTCCAAAAAGGGCTAACTGCTTTAAATTCTCATTAAAATTTTTCAAGTGACTTACACCATATTTACAGAAGACTGGAGTAAAGGAATGGAATACAAACTACATAAAAAATTAATTAATATCAATGTCACCATAAAGCGCATATTATTAAGAAGACATTGAAGAGGTTAAATTACTTTATAAGAACAATAAGCTGATAGTGTTCATCACTAAATTTTACTATTTTTGGACATTACATCATTTTATCAGCAATTTTATGTAAATCTTATATTATTTTTGCAAAAAAAATTGTCTGACCAACACATCCTGCAGACACATACAGGACTGTCCCCTACTCACACCAGATTTTGTTGACAAATTATTAGCACTTTCAGAGCTGAAATTCAAATAATTTTCCAGGCTGGCATTTCTTGAGTGAGATGGTGTAGCTGAAGCGCTAGCAGAGCCGCCTCTAGAAGATGGGGAAGATTTACTCCATTTGTTGAGTGCGCTGGGAGACCCTCGTGAGGATAGGCTGCCGAAATATGCTTGGAGACTTCCTGGTACGCTGGATGAATTGGGTAAGCTGGTGACTGATCTGAGCACAGATTTGGGGAATAATCAGGCACTTATATGAAGCCAACAGTGAAAATATGTTGAATATTATCGAGTGTTTTATTTAGGTTAAATTGCATTTTGAGCAAATCATTGGACATTGGTAAATGTTTATAATATATTATCAGACAAAACTCATTCAAACATCGTTTAAAAATAAAGAAATGCAAAAACATTCTGAAACAGTAAAAAACCTTAAGTGGATACATAATTAGACTTACCCATGAGTTTCCAAGTCCAATTTATTAGGTGACACATTTTTTGACTCTGTATCAATGGCAGTTTTAGTAAGAGTTTTATCAACAGTAAGCACTGAGGCAGCTTCTGAATCAAGCTTATTTAATAAGCTTTCAGCTTTGCCAGCCAGTTCACTGATCCATGCCATTGCTCCTGATTGTTTTAAAGATTAACTAATTAATAAAAATAAATCTGATTTAAGTCATCATTGACCTCCAATATCTACCCAATTTAACCCAAATGTCTAGCTGTTGGCAGAAGATGGAAAGAATTCAAAACAGTGTCCACTGGCCAGCCAAGATCAAAATAAAATATGAACATTATAACATCCCAAGCAAAATGACTACGGTATGTTTTATATTTTGTATATATAACAGTCAAAGTTAGCTAGAGCCTAGAGTGTTTGAAGCCTGGCTTCATAGTCATAGGTAGGTATATTATATAGTAGTGATTGCAGTCTATACTCTATAGTCATAGCCTCATAGAAGCTGTTTGACCACAATACTCATTGTGAATTTGTGTTTGGATTTTACCGAGATCAAAAAATGTATTACTAGACTTTGCTTTGGCACTCATTATAATCTGTAATTTATTTTTAATTAAGAGTAATTTTCAAGATAATTTGTTAAATTTTCATTATTTCTTTGCACACATTTAAAATTTTTGATTTATTGCTAGGAAATCCAAACCAAATTATCATTTACATAATCGATAATGACTTAAGTTATACATTTTACCTACTACCTATGCCAGTTGCAGTGGTTGGTTAGCAATAAAAAATGCTTTGAAATGGGAATTTCTTACATGCCATATTATTATTTGCCTATTGATTTTGCTTATTATATAGGCCATGATAAGGCAATAGGCCTAATGGTCAGGAGTCAGAACTCTCGTCTCTCAGGTCAGGAGAGATTTTTCAAAATTCAAAAGATTTTCAAACAAGAGATTTTTCAAAATTCACTTCATTTCTAAATTCCTAAAAAATTGTTATAAATAATATTAAAAATATATGTATTATAATGCTGGCATCCATGATGTGATACCATAGTGACAAACCAGAGATTTTTTAGAATCAGTTCATTTTTAATTTCCTCATTTACCCAAGATTTAAACCAATTTCTTATGTATGATGAAGCTGGTATCCAGGATACTAACGATACTTTACTGGTCCAGTGTGGAATTCTAGAGGGATATTAAATTAACCAGTACACATAGCATATTGGAAAGCAGGACCTGAAAGGTTGGAAAGTCCAGGAACTTTCCACTTCCAGTCCATTTTATAATATACATTATACATATCCTATCACTTTTCAACTGTGATTGGCTTATGGGATTGTGATTTTAGCCCCTTCCAGCTTTCCAGCTGTGATTGGTTAATGGATTTGTAATGTTATCTGCTTTCTAGCTGTGATTGGTTGCTGGGGATGCTTTCTAGCTGTGATTGGTTGCTGGGGATGCTTTCTAGCTGTGATTGGTTGCTGGGGATGCTTTCCAGCTGTGATTGGTTGTGCCCATAAGCCCCACCCCCAAATATGTTATATGTACTACAGTATTGGTTAACTAAATACTTAACTTAAACTTGATCATTACAAACAAAAAGCCTGGAAAATTTTTGAAAAATCCATTAAATAAAAGAAAAATAGAGAATATCTATCAAACAAGAGACATTCAAAAAATTTTATAACAAATCTGAGGTACTATACAATTGAAACAGTTTGTCCACTTTTGATCCTCCTTTTCATTTATAGTCAGTCACCTGGCAGAGCACTGAATAAAGGTGAGTGGGTAACGTAAGTTACGTAACCCCCATGTTACGATGTTAGTAAGTCGCGAAAAAAATCGGTTTTCCGATGCCGACCGCCAAAAATGGATTTCAGATTCGTAATCTACACCTCAAAAAACATATAATTAAAAAAAAAAACACCCTTTTTTTTGGATGTAGTTAATCTGCAATAATACCGAGCACTGTATCTAAGGAAAGCATTCCAACTTGGGTAGAAAGCTTTTTTATAAGTGAACCTCCATTTCTAGAATTCCACCCTGTACTGGTCTACTTATAGGACTCAAAATTGAACTTGAGGGAGTGTCTAAAAAACTTCCTGCTTTGCCACTATGTGTGATACTTTACTGATCTACTTATAGAACTTTAAAAGCAAGCGTCTTCTCAGTTCTCTAAACAAGTCTCACAGTTGACACTTGACACTCTGCACTCAGCCTTGACTGCTTGAGTCGTTTGTCTCCTGAGCAAAGTTGGTTACGGATTACGAGTTAGGTACGAAGCAGCACTCCGGCATGCTTTGGAATTCCTCTTAACTACAGCATCTGGTCCATCATCAGCATAAGGTATAATTTTTTTTCTTTAGCCGTCCTGGCGATCCTTCTTCTCACGATTGGATAAGTGAAATAAGCGCCTCACCACTACATGTCTTACGCCACGACTGCATGCGGAGAGTCCATTTTCGTAAGTATGTCCATAGGATGAGTAATCCAGAATTTAGGTGTATATGAATACAATCGTATTATTTTTATTGGCAATCTAATCTGAACATCGTTAGGGTTTAGAAAAAATATTTGATGTACTTCAAACTAGATTGATGAATTTTACGTTGCTATTTGAAAGTTGTTCATTGATATCATTAATAATTTATCGTATAACTTTTTTCTTATATTTCTTTATTTGGGATAAAAAGTATAATTTTCTTACACTGAAGACCTGTGATTAAATAAAAGTACAGATTAGATTCTGAATTATACTTTTGCTAGTAAATTTCTGTTGTTATGGAGTGGACATTTGAAAGTCTGAAGAATGATTGCTGCAGGAGTTTTATTTATTACAAAAATAATGCATTAAATTTTAGTTGTAATATCTACTTAAACTGGAGAATAGATAAGACTAATTTTCCGTCTGTAAAAAATATGGGGCTCATAAAAAACGAAGGCCCTGGCAACTCAGTTATAAAATAATGCAGAAAGACATTTACCGTCTAGAAATTGATTTCGCATTAACAATGATTTCGTCTGAATCGTATCATCTTCGTTATTAGATGCATAACTACAAATCAAGTTTATAACTCGTAGGAAAATTAACTGACATCAATCACCCAGTTGAAATATTGAACGGCGTGGAGGGGGACGCTGCATTTTGCCACTGCGTCGTTCGATTTCGGCCGGAGGCGCGATAATCGCTCTAGAAGACGGTTGTCCGAAGTGAAGGAATCCAAGCTGTTGTCGCTTTGATCTATACAGAGAAGGTATTTCGGACTCAGACGTGCCTTCAGACGTATTACCTGCGGAGCCAGTAGTCGAGATTTCAGGCCCAGTAATATCATCATTCGATTGGTTACCTTCTGCAGTTGAACTTACAGCTTCAGATGCATATGATGTATTCTGAGATTCAACGCCAGGAATAACCGATGCAGTTTCTGTTCCGTCGGTATTGGTAATGGCCGCATCGGCTGTGGTTACCGTAAATGGGCTGGATTCGGAAGATGTTTGAACTGATTCGGTCCCTACATCTGCAGATCCTTCAAATCCAAGCTGCTGTCGCTTAGATCTGAACAGAGTTATCTCGGACTCAGACGCGACTTCAGATGCATTACCTGTAGAGCCAGAGGTCGTTATTTCAGGCCCAATAGTCTCATAATTCGATTGATTACCAACACTTTCTGAAGTTGAACTAACAGCTTCTGATGCATTTGATTTGTTCTGAGATTCAACGCTAGGATTAACCGTTGCAGTTTCTGTCACTTCCGTTTTGATGGTGAGCACCTCGGCAGTAGTTGTCGTGAATGAACTGGATTCAAGAGAGGTTTGATTTGATTCAGATCCTACAACTGCAGACCCGGCGATCACAGACTCGGAATTTCCGGATCCTTCTAGCGTTGCAATTTGGCTTTGGCTCTCATTTTGCTCTACTTCGAGTGCGTTGACAGCTGTAGTTGACTCGGGCTTCACCGTTGTAGCAAACTTTTCTCCACTTTCATTTTCTTCCTCGTGTTGTTTTTTGTGTTTTCTTCCGTGCCATTTGTGCCCACGTCCTCTGTTTCCTTCATTTCTATTATTTTCATGACTGCCCTCATCTACTTGACGATACCAACCGCGATGTCTACCTCTGATAGGATGCCGCTCATGACCCTCATGTTCATGAAAACGTGAAGCCTCTCTTTTTTCATGAGTAGAATCTTCACCTTCGTTTTCCTTGGTACCTGTTTTTTCACTGATAGTTTCTTCCGTTGTTGACACTGCAGTCTCTTTTTCGTTTTCTATCTCAGTGCTTGAAGCAGCCTCCCTTTTTTCGTAAGTAGAATCTTCACCTTATTTATTTAAATAAAATTTTTAATTTTTTAAAATAAAATATTTTTTACAATATCTAAGAACTGAATATATTTCCAATGCAATAAATCTAGAAATAATACCATGGCATTGAATCAATGCGGTCTTCTAGCAAGTCCTGCACAAGCAAGAAAAATACAAAACACTCATGCTAAAAACTAGTAAAGTAAAAAGATCAGGCAAGTTTCCTGGTATTGTTACCTTCATCTAGTGATGCTGGAGAACTGGAGACCAAAGCGATGAACATCATGGCTGCCAACCATAGCGACGTCCCGCCATTCCATGCTATAAACGGAGTCATACTGACCTGAAAAAATCAGTTAGTTTTGTTGAGAGCTTCACAAAAGAAATTGTCTATGAAAATGTTTTGTTTTCACCAAAAAAATATTCCAGCTTAATGTGTAAAATCAAATCTTATTCTCGAAAGTAATTTACAAATTTAGGATAACATTATTATTGCGTGCTGAAAACTATGAATAAAAAATAATGTCGATGTCAAATTCTTCAGAACTCGAAATTTTCCTTGAGTAAATCTTGAACATGCTCATCTTGTCACATATAATATTAATAATAGATTATTCGATCATATGAAGGCAATGTCGATATTAGATATTCTGTGAACAAGGCACGAAAAGGAAAAGAATCGGCGACATGCCACATCAGGCCTACACTTCAGCGCCGAGATCACTATGTTATGTTATGTCTAAAATAACTATTTAACTCTATGGTCTTGCTAACAATCGTATTTCTTTTCTTATACTGTAAGGAAACTTACGATGTAAATGCCAGACTTCTTGGACAGTCAGAGAGGATGGCGGCAGAGAACAACGCTGGACTGCGTCGGTGAGCTCAATTTATAAGCGAAGCAGCGCAAGTGTTTGTAAACTATTGAGCAGCCTACCAGAAACCCTTGCTATATGTTGAAATATTCCTTCGAAAGTTTCTTAACAAGTTCCTCGGATAACGTTAAGCGCAGGATGGTGGAGTAAGAGCATTCGTGGAAGAAATGACATTATTATTAAGTTTATTTATTATTTTTCAGATAAACAGGGGATATTACAAAATTCATGGAAAATTTGAGAAACGTAAGAAATTTTCATGGAACAAGGAGCTCTTGGTACTAAGTTAATCGAACAAACAATGATATTAGCTGCGAAAAAGCATATCTTCAACTAGCGATTAAATAATTTAGATATTAAAATCTCATTTATTCACATCATCTAATTAAACTGTGAGCTAAATTACATGAGCAGAGAACGTACATGAACGACGTCAGAATCACCCGTTAATAAAAATATATTATTAGTATAATATAATATAATATAATATAATATAATATAATAAATATAATATAATATATTATAATATAATATATCAATTGTATATAATTATTTCATGAATAACAATAGCTCAATAATTGCATAGCAACATAGGGCAATAATATTTTCATAATAATTACCACTGCTCCTATAAAACGATAATGTACCTACCAACAAACCAACATTATGTATACGAATAATTTTTTCAATGGAACTTATAAATCCGTCACGTATTCACGCGCATTCAGTTCGCTGTGCGTACTACGCTTCTTTTTCCTAACGAACTTCCGGTAAATTCAATCTATACTCACTGTCTAAAAATATTATTAAAATAATAATAATAATAATAATAATAATATTAATAATAATAATATTATTATTATTATTAAAATATTACTAAAAATAAAAAAATATTATTAATATTATGACGTCGAATAATACGTCATAATCAAATTCTTTTTTATATCTATTCTACGTCTAGCTTTTATATCTATGACAATCCAAGTCTAACAAACATGCAGTTTTTTCTAGTACAACAGAGTTATTTAAGTTTTTGAGAATTAGAGTTGAAAACTTATTGTCACTTCTAATCATTTAAAATAGTGTTAATAAATTTTACACTGCCCTTTAGTTTTATAATTTGTTTTCAAATACAATATTAAATACGTTAAATTTGCTTCGACACTCCGAAAGTGTAGCTCTCTATTGTAATCTAGCGTTAAACTATTTCCGAGATTCTCTTTAATCTACGAACGTGTTGTTCAAGAGTGGTATGTATGAACCAAACAAAATATTCTCATAAAATTGTAACCATTCTTTCTATTTCTCGATTAAATTATTGTAAAACTACCCCAGTTAAATCAACAACTTGATTTCATAAATCTCACACGATTTTATAATTGCGGGGACATTGTTTTATTTACGATTTTATAATTGTGGGGAAACTGTTTTATTTCTAAGCTGACTCTCAGAAGTGAAAATTCTCCATCCAAGATTTGTGATAGCGTTTTTGCATGACTCTTGCACCTCTTTTACCAACTCCCATTCAATATTGGAGCGCCAAGCAAATGCGTGATTGGCTGAGTCCCGCGTGACATCATTGGCTTGCATTTTAGGTTTCTTGCCGGTTGTGCTCTGTTGCAAGTATTCTATGAAGTCTTCCGTAATCGTAAGGTTTAGATCCTGCCAAAGTTGTTCGACGATCTTCCTGGGCTTTGTGGAGAGGTCTTCGTACCTCAAGAAGAAAAATCTGTCAGAAAAATTCAGGAATGATATTTTAGTAATTTAAGATCGATGAATTTTATTTATCCTGAAAACGCATATTCACATATTCAGTGGTAGGGAAATTTTTAACCGCTTTTATTAATTCGTGATGTTCAATTACTCATAATAGTTGCCGGTCGTGTTAATGTAGCACACGCACTTTAAAATATAATTTCTTTTCAAGAAGAGGTTCTTAGACATCCATTTTCATGATAGTTAACAATAGTAATTAGAGAAATGTGCAATTACTTTTCCGGAAATTAACAGTAGGAATTAAGATGAAACGCAATTACCTGTCTGGAAATCAACAGTAAGAATTAAGATAATTTGTAATTACCTGTCTAGAAATTAACATTATGAATTAAGATAATACGCAATTACCTGTCTGGAAATTAACACTATGAATTAAGATAATACGTAATTACCTGTCTGGAAATTAACTCTATGAATTAAGATAATACATAATTACCTGTCAGGAAATTCCTCCAGTAACTGCCTCGCGTAGTTCAAGTCTTCATCAAGACCGAGGCACGCGTAGCGAGGATCATAACACTGAAGATTTTTAGGGGTACACCAGCGAGCGTTTACAGGCTCGCGGCGGGATCTTAATTTTAAATTGAGTCATAATTTTATTATAAATATAATACGATGAATGTAGACTATGTAATGGTTTAAAACAGCATCTGAATAATTAACTCAGTGATTGAAAAGGGCTACTATGGCCTTATTATTCAATGATTTTGCTGATAGTGCATGAATTTCAACTGAAAATGTAATATAATTATTGTCAATTCATTATGATTCATGTGCGTAAGAATTTTACATGTATAAGATTTATCATGATTTTTGTATCGCATTCTCATTTTTTCTATTTATGTTAATCACGATGATTTCCATCGTCAATTCATTATGATTCATGTGCGTAAGAATCTTACGCGTGTAAGATTTATCATGATTTTTGTATCACAATCTAATTCTTTATATTTATGTTAATCACGATTATTTCCATTAAATACATTCATTTATCATATTTTGTTAGTTTGTCCACACCTTATTACTGGTCGAGGATCCCTTGCAAGATAAACGATCTTCAAGTCTTGAAATTTCGGATCAACGAGTAACGACGACGCAAATTTCAGACTTAGTCTGATAACCTGAAATGGAGTGAAATAAAACCATATTAATTTCAATGTCAATGAATCTTTCTTGATTCCAATGCTGTATATACGCGGTCATAGAGTTGTTAAGGAAAGCACGTTTTGTTGAGTAAACTGGCTTCCGTGTTGGATATTTCAGCAGAATAGGAATGACTTCACAAAATTGTGGCATAAACTCAACCTGGAACCAGAAATATATAGATTGATTAACTCTTATCTTATAATTATCCGTTTTCAAGTTAGAGTGGCCATTAATCCCAGTGCGAAGAGATTTTACCTTTTTTTGCGCATTTTCTCATTTATGGAAAAAATGCACTACTGTGCTCGCCATTCCTTCTCTGTCCGTCCGTGACTTTACGTTTTTGTCGATGAGAAAATGCGCTCTCTGTCACTCACTGCAGTGAGTACTGAGTTATATTTTTAAAAGCATTGCCATGTTACTCTAATATACATATTTTGTAATTATTTATGTAGTAAAATGTTGCTACATACCCACCTTAAGAACATGAACGTGCGATTCTGCGCACACTGAGGAGAAAAATTCAGGGTCGTCGCATTTTTTCGCAGGGAGGCATTTACTGTAAAAAAGTTTGTTGGTGATCATAAAGATTTGGGCTCCAAAGTGGAACAGAGGTTCGAAACTGTCACAAATAAGAATAATAAGTAAGAAAGAGATATCTCAGAGTAAAGTTTTAATTCTTGTAACATGGAGCGTGTTAAATCCTTTGCGAAATGTATTCATCGTAATGTGTTTTCTAGTTTTATTTTATTCCAACTTATTTTCAACCAGAACAATGCTTCCTAATGTATGTAGAAAAAATATAACTCAGTACTCACTGCAGTGAGTGACAGAGAGCGCATTTTCTCGTCGACGAAAACTTGAGGTCACGGAGGGACAGACGGACAGACAGACGGACATGGCGAGCACAATAGTGCCTTTTTTCCATAGATGAGAAAATGCGCAAAAAAGAGATGGGTGTGGTGGTGAAAGTAGTCAGTCTTTTTTTCAAACGAATACATTCATGTAAAATGTATTTTTTATCTGATACCGGGTAATGTTTATTCGAAACGTAGCACTGCAAAAAACCTATTGTCCCATGAAAAACTTAAATTCAAAATTTAAACTCCTTATAAGGTCTTGTCGCATAATTGAAAAAAAAATAATTAGAAGATTAATAAGAATTACTCACTGGATTTTAATAAAGCCTACATTAATAAACAACTTCTCTCATCACTCATTTGAATTAAGTAAATGAACAAATCGTGTTTGATGCTCAGTATCCAACTAAATGAAAAAATTTTCAACAATACAAGCTAACACCTATATCGTGCCACATATATAAGTAAATATACATCACATAACACTTGCCTGTAAAACGTGTTGGGTTCTGCAGAAGCCAAAATGTCACCCAGAAACGTGGACCCGCTTCGCCATGTTGACCAAAGAATGATGTTACGAGGAAGTCGATTTTCATTTATTTTATTAAGTGATTTCGTTCTTTCGTAAATTTTCGTCGCTGACGATTTAGCGTGTAATGAAAATTCATTTTCAAATTTTAGCTGATTGTCTTTTGGGAATTGTTTCTTGGCGCTCGGCAATTCCGAAGACTCGTTTTCTAAAGGATTTTCTCTCGTCGTATTTTCATGGGAAGCTCCTGGAGTCTTTGTGGATTTGACATCTGGCTGCTCATTTGTGACTTGTCCTTCCTGCTTGTCATTACTTGTTTCCTTGTCCATAGCAGTGATCGAATGCAAATGTTTTTCACCTCCAAAGGAGCTACGAATTAACCCGTTATCAGGATCAAACAATTTCATGTTTGATTGCCTTCGTTTAGCTTCCAGTGTCAAGGGCCCAGATTTTTCATCATCAATGTATTCAATGTTATCGGAATCAACATTTTCTAGTGATGTACTTGGTTCTCGCAGAACATAATAAAAGAGCAGAGCAAAATTGAATGTTATAACGATAAAAAATATTTTCTTAGGAAGTTTCGGGGAAAGCCATGAACAAAATGACATTTTTATGCAGTGAAGATGCTGAAAACTTTGTGAGAGCACTTTTTAATCCTTTAAAAAATTAAAAACTAAAAAATATAACTCAGTACTCACTGCAGTGAGTGACAGAGAGCGCATTTCCTCGTCGACGAAAACGTGAAATCACGGACGGACAGACGGACAGACGGACGGACGGACGGGCGGAAATGGCGAGCACAATAGTCAATTTTTTCCGTAAATGAGAAAATGCGCTAAAAATAGGTATCCTGTGTGAACAAAATTAATTGTTTCTTCACTATAACATAAATCATAATGTAACGATCAGCATGGAGCAGAGAAGAATATCAAAACGGTTCGGATTCAACATGCCGCGCTTATTATACTATTTTACATCCAGAAACCCCAAATAATCAATTGGTTCGGAACCAAACTGTAGATGTTCGAAATCTGTGACAGATGAATCATTTACGCGCATTGCACTCCTGATCCAATGGCTCTTCCTCGAAGTTCACTAGACAAATGATGTTTATAAGTTACTAGTACCCCGATGTTTTGTTTAACAATCGTTATCATTGATACGTAGTGGCTGGTACAAGCCGACCGATAGCGCAACAAGTGCCTAACTTCTCACGTGGCTCAGGCTTGGTACAGGCGGTGAAGCTTTCGCAATGACGATGACTGCATAATGAATTGCTAACACGATCACAGGAGATTGACAAATTAAAAATCGTCTTACATGTTCGAGGAATCCTACATGATTATTTTGAAGATAATATTGTTCCGAGCGCATTATCGCGGGGAAATAGTAGACTGAGAGTGCGTTCCAGTTTTTTTCTTACAATTACAGCCAATCTTTATTTTGTTCATGGAAATAAGTCACTTGAAAATAACATAATATTTTCAGTTACATGATCACTTGAAAGTTAAGCATTTTAAAGTATAGAGCTGCATAGGAACTCATTTAACGTGGAACTGCTGGCGCAAGCGTAATCCAAAAGTTATTCGAGATATTACTTAATATCTGATATTGAACAATTTAATAAACTAAACGCAAAGGCTTACACGAAATTTGTTATATTCGCATCCCTAATTGTTTTAACGCTTAATAGAGTTTCAGATGCGAGCTTAATTTCCTTGTTTCGACCCTCGAAGTCAGATAGCAACCCTCAGACCGGCAGACGTCGGTTATGATGTCCGGCGCCGGGCGAGTCCAAGTCTAAACGCAGCGACCGGCCTCGGCTCGGTCGGCGGCGAAGCTCCAGTTGCCTGCGACGGCTCGTTGGGGAGAGTGGAGTGAACGTGATAGTGAGCTTCTTTTCCATTCCTCTCTCTCAAAACTTTCTGTTAGTTCTTTTTGATCCAAGATGTCTACTGATTTCATATAAAATGATTTTTTTTTATCATATACAATGCAAAATTTGTTGGCAAAATGCGCTCTCGTTTACTAAATTATTAGTTTCAATTGTCTGAGTTTAGTCGGTTTTGTAAACTAAAGGTGTTCTTAAAGATGATGTTGCCCTTGACAACATTTGATATTTTGAGTGCAATTTAAAGTCTTATTTGACCTTCACTATGTTTCATGAATTTCAAAGACTAATGGTATAAATTTTTGCCCATTAGTCTTCATCTAAGTTGATTCAATTGCCGTTTACGACTACCTACGAGACTTGCATCACGATTAATAACTACGACAGTCCGTACTCCGTACTCATTTAGGCGACATTACGGATTTACCTTAACTCCTAGTTTAACCCTTTTCGACAATTTGCAAGCTAACGACGTTTTATATATTTTTTAGCGTAGCACTAGCAACAGGAATGTGATTTTAACTTGATTTATTTGCATCTACGGCTTTCATGAGGATAATGATTTATGTGAAGTCGCCGCAGCCTTCCGTTTTGGCACTTTTCCTAATTCCTACACTAGCCTAACTTAGGTAGTACAACTTCGGTCTCACAGAAAGCCGAAAATTCTCGATATGCTTTTCGAGATATTGAGAAAAAATATACATATCATAATAACGGAATATATGTGTCATAGACTATAAAGTAATTTAAACTTACTGTAAAGGCTCTACAAGTACAATAAAGAGAACTCTTGCTTTTTCTCGCCTCTGCCACGCAGTCACGCACTCGGAAAAAACATTTTCCAAAGCAAGTCCTGTAACATGTAACGTGAGTGAAACGTTTCGCTCGCAGTTTTAGTGAACAGTAGCTATGTCCAGATTATTTCATATATTTTTTGCGCAACGTATAATATGATTTTTTGTGCAGCATTGAGACATACCTATTATATAATTTTGCGTTTTTATCAACGAATAACAGAAAGTTTTGACTTACCTTAGTTTGCAGACAACCCGCGATGACGCAGTAGTTCGTTCCAGCGTAGAGAGCCATTGAATGATTGATACCATTTTTCTTACCACTCCGATCCTATTCCACCGGGAAGTATTTTCTTAATTTATGTATGAGTTTCTAATACAGTTTGTAAACGAATTGAATAGGTTCTTTTGAGTATATTTGCTATTGCGTTAATTCGCTTTAAAGAGTATTTAGGGCGTTTGTGGTTTGAATTTGGAAGGTGTCGTCATCGTTAGTGAGTTGTGAGAAAAGCCATTGATCTTGGAAAGTCAGCCTAGGCTGAGTGTTATAAAGTTATCGTATTTGCACCACGTGTTGGTATAAGCGAAGCAGTTACCGGTAGTGCCTCAAGTGGCTACAATTTAGACATACGGTAAAGATGGCGACCCACACTCATCACGCTCTCAGGAACCCTCCCTTACTACTCCGTGTCACGCTTCCTGTCGTCCTCGCCATGTGCTGCTTGGGTGAGTTTTATTGCAACGCCTCTGATATATTATTAGAATGATATTGACATTTTTCTGTTGCTGGAAGTTGGATTACTTAATTTTACAGTATTAGTGCCCTTCTAATTGATTGTTACTGTAATTCTTTTTAAGAGTATAACTCCTATATATACTATTTTTAATGTTTATTTTAGGTCAAACTTTTATTTAGTTATAGGTATTTGAAAAACAAAAACTTTATGTACTCCGTAAATAGATTTGACATTATTCTACACTGTATGCAGCTGATGGTTCGTTTGAGAAATTTGAAAGAGAAAAATTATTGTCGATAAAATGCTGAAATTACCTTTCCTGTTCCCAACTCGATCTGCACATCGGACTCAACATCTATGATTATGCATTTCACTGAACTTCCAGCTATCTGGTCACTATAAGTGCCACTCTCCAGGCAAATGACTTTGAAACAACGTTGATTTAGAGTTTATTTCGCCGAAACTACGTTTGATCAATGCTATATTTCAACGTCATGTGCCTGGTGAGAATGTAGTTGCCTGGTGAGGTCTAGTAGTCAACTGCGACTTGTTCTGACGACAGAGATTTTTTTTCGCTGCATCTCGAGTGTCGTTGCTCTGCTTTGAATTCGGTTGACTCAGGAATGTCGCGCGCATGAGACAAACTTGCTACTTGCTCAACTACTCTTGATGCCATGAGTTTGAATAAAAAAAAATCGTGAGTACGTTTGACAGGTTTAGTGTTTATCATGGATCATTGCAACATTGCATTTGATTTATTCTAGCAAGAATTGTTTCGTGGTGTTCAATGTTTTTTGCTGGACTGCTGGTATTTAATGAGCTCAAGATGTGATAGCGGGAGTTGAACGGTTGCATGCACGTTATTTTTAACACCTTACATGATGAGTTTATTATGGAATGTGTATTTTATTTTAACACACAAATACCCTCAATATGATCCTTCGACGTACAGCTTATTTTTTTGTATCTATATTTTGAAAATATTTTTGTCATATTCTGAGTTCAAGTATCGTTAACAAATTTTCATTTATTAAAACATAACAGATAACTTTATGATTTTCTAAACATGTTCCTAAGGCGGCCTAGCGACGAGAGAAGAAGGCTTGCACAATCTTCGCTATTTCGAGCTAAGTCGTTTGTGGTGGGGAGGGGCTGGTAAAGAGACATGCAGGGGGGTAGGGGTGGGGGTTCCCCTCCCTCTTTGGAAGAGACTTCGTATTGATCAGCGTTCCGGGAGAGGGAGAGAAAGAGAGGGTGCAAAGAGAGGGGTGGAGTGGGGAGATAGAAACCGCCTTCTTGCCACGCATCCTCCCTCTCGTCTGCGACGCTCATGGCTCGTTCCCACTCGAAATAACAGTCCAAATGTCAACAAGGCAATGAAGCATTAATAGTGATCATTCATATAAATATATGCTGTTGATCGCAATGCTCAAGTTCGGATATTTTTCTCGTAATTTTTTGCATTATTCCTTTAATATTACGACCTATGCACATTTATGATATTTTTTGAGCTAAAATCGAGTCAATGATGCTTAAATTAATCAATGTAACTAATGCGAAGGTTAAAATGCAATCATCGTTAAGCTGCGCGAATATATCACCTTTTATAATTTCATTAATTTGTATATCCAAAGGCAGTCACACTACAATAGTAGTGTGACTGACTTCTAGAGTTTGTTGTACAAAATAAACTGTAGAAGAATAACTATGATGAATATCACATTTTTTGAAGTTATTTGACGAATTCAGTAAATCGAGATTCTCAATATTTGATGAAAGTTACAATGGTCATATTTTTGGCTGAGCCTGAGATGCGTGACAGAAGAGCGTTAACATTGGATAGGCCTGCTGAATATTTTTGAGCTTGGTTATAGGTGGCTGCCTGACCTGCTGCTGGTGGCTGCCTGACCTGCTGCTGGTGGCTGCCTGACCTGCTGCTGGTGGCTGCCTGACCTGCTGCTCCTGTTGGCTTACAAGTGTGGAATCACACAAAACCTTCACGATCAATTCTTCACCGCGAGAATTGAAAATTTCCACTGAAAAAAAAAAAAATTATTCATCACTGCAAGCTTTTATTCTTTTATATTAGCGGTTGTCAAGCGAGAAAAGCTTGATGTACAGAAGCGGCTCGCTTATTTAGCGGCTCGCTTATTTAGCGACTTCTCCCATAACAGAGGATGTGAGACGTTAAGCGTCATGCGGGCACGCTTATATGTATATACGGTGCTCTTGGTGCTGATGATGTCCAACGGCTCTATATGCTTTTCACGCATTTAAGCGCGTAGACAACTGTAGATGAGTATATTAAGCATTTGTAGTCTTTAATTGACTGCTTATTACAAGCCTGTGTTTATTATATAAGCTGTTGCCACTGCAGTAGCGATAGGTACCGTAATCGTTTAGGGATATCACCAAGCATGTGCTGAACATATTTGCGAATACGCTAAATGCAGCACTTGTTAACGCATGTTCTGCAAGGACTTACGCATGTGCAGGCGAATTATTCCAACCCAGACCCTCGAATGCCGCTGATTGCGTTCTAGATAGCTTGCGCCTCTGCAACTGAACGGGCCTAGCGATTGCAATGCCGAACCTACTTTCCGGTATGTTNGAACGGGCCTAGCGATTGCAATGCCAAACTTACGTCGGTTATGTTTTTACACGCAACCCTCCAGTCATCTTACGTTAGGTAACGTTGATTAAACGTTGTTTCATCAAAATTATCTCGTAATCAAGATTATTTCAACGTCATTTGCCGGGAAGGGAGGTTCGAGCGCCAGCATCGCTTGCCTGCATCGCGCTTTGTACGTCCAGTCCAACGGACTCGGACGCTGAAACGTGAGCGCTGCTGCGGGTGGCGCTGGATGCGAGTTGCATGTGTGGTGTTTGATGTGGGTATATGCTTGTAGTGTGATGGATTGCTAGTGCTAGTGAAGAGTCTAGGCAATAGCAGGATAGGGTAACAATGGGTGCATGTGATGTTTGGGAATCGGAGAGAGGGGTGAGGGAGTTAATCGGAGCTATGGGTGAGGAATCGGAGTGATAACGGAGTACTTCGGTTGTGTATGGGTGTTATGTGTGAGGTTGGTAGGTTTGATGTGGTGTGGAGCGGCTGAAATGTAATGAGCTAGTGGGTGTAATGTAATGTGGCAGTGAGTGGTGTAATGTGATAGTCGGTGTGATGTGTTGTGTAGTTGCACTAGCAGGTGCGGTGCAGTGTGCAGTGGGTGTTAAGAGGTGTAATGTGATGAAGCAGAGAGTATAGTGAGGGGTGAAGCCAACTGAAATGTTGTGATGTGATGTAATGTTTATTGGCATAGCGAATGTATAATGTTGTTTTGTGGTGCCTGTTTCATCATTCGACGTCTATGGTTATTTACCGTGACCCAACCGGCAGTGATCAATGATAGCCTAGAGCAAATAACTAAATTACTCCTGGCTAAAAATTAACGGGACATCATAAATTTATAAGTATTTTACAGCCACTCGGCGCTCTTCAGCGTAAGTTTGAGCGAGAATCAGCAGCTGAATTAAAAGCTGATCAATCGATAGTTTTTTGGGAGTCCTGAGAACCTCTCCAGCTTTGCCACCCTCACCAGGGGCGCGGGGAAGCTCTTTGTGGTGGGGATTATACCCTGGGCGGAACGTAGGGGACGATGTCCACTGTGCCTGAAACACATGCATAGTTCCATAGTGTTCCGTAATCGACTTGTAATTGAAAACCTGGCGTGACGCGATAATACGGCAACAAGAAGAATAATAATAAGAGATATAATAATACATTTTTTGGGAGTCCTGAGAACCTCTCCAGCTTTGCCACCCTCACCAGGGGCGCGGGGAAGCTCTTTGTGGTGGGGATTATACCCTGCATGGAACGTAAGGGTATAATGTATCGTATATTATACCCTGCATAGGCGGAACGTAAGGGACGATGTCCACTGTGCCTGAAACACATGCATAGTTCTATAGCCTAATGGACTTGTAATTGAAAACCTGGCGTGACGCGATAATACGCCAACAATAAGAATAATAAGAGATATAATAATACGAGACTGACGGAGAAAATGAACTCGGTTTAATTGTGCAGATGGTTTTCAGAGAAATGTTGGAAAATATTTTACACTCGTTTATATTCACAGAACGAGCAATAGGATGAAAACCAGGCTCTCTCTCTCCGTTTATTTATCTGTTAGATAATCACTTAGATGTCAGTGCTTAAAGTACAATTACAGAACCGAAAAATATTGTCCATTTGTAATGATATTGCATATCAAAACGTGATTTTCCGTTTGATTGCCTTGGAGCTCCTAGACAAATTACTCATAACAAATGCTGAAGAAATTAAACTTTAATTTTTTCTCACCTAATGGGGTAGCAGTCCATCGTGGTATGTTTCTCATGCATGCCATAGATTCCTCTCTGGATAAATAAAGTCACTAGGGTTCATGAGTGAGATGACAAGATTTTATGAACATAGTACAATAGCTCTAACTCTACTGCAGGTCTATCTAACCTGCTCGCATTGTACTACTCACAATAGTCTACATTCCGAGTACAATAGCTACGTGTAGCTTGCCTCTCCATCGCCTACAGTTCTTCTGCATACCATAAATTTTATGGATTATTCCTTTGTTATTGATTATTCCACTTCGCTTTTTTGGATTTGATTTCAGATATGGTTGTCATTGTGCGCAGTGTTCCATGAAGGTAAATTGTATGTGTGTGCTGAACGGTCAAATGAAAGCTTTGACAAACATTGAAGTGACCGTAACAATTCTGAGAATATTTTATTACTCTTTCGATTTTTTTATTTAATTTATTTACTCCGTTTTTACTGTTATATTGTAAAATACGGGGTTAATACGTAGCATCGTCGAAGTCAACTGAATCAGTGGTTTCACCTTAGCTTGCGACGTATTAAGTGTAATAATTATTACTTATTGTTAGCCGTGTCACTGATAACCGTGTCATATGCTTGCACCATCAGCCGTGTTGCCGTGTGTCATGTGCTTGCAACATCAGCCGTGTTGCCGTGTGTCATGTGCTTGCAACATCAGCCGTGTTGCCGTGTGTCATGTGCTTGCACCATCAGCCGTGTTGCCGTGTCATGTGCTTGCAACATCAGCCGTGTTGCCGTGTCATGTGCTTGCAACATCAGCCGTGTTGCCGTGTCATGTGCTTGCAACATCAGCCGTGTTGCCGTGTGTCATGTGCTTGCAACATCAGCCGTGTTGCCGTGTTAGCTGCAGACAGACTCAAGGTTTTGATCAAATTAAGACGGGCGTGTCCTGTTCATGTGAACTTTAATCAATAGGAGCCCGCGTTCCGGACACTTTTGTCTCATTTTCCGCCCAGCCTCACTTCTCCTCTCCCTTTGCACCAAATATTATGCCTACGATCTCAATCATCCTCCTTCCAACCTCTTTCGTTCCCTTATTATTTTTCCCTTTTTTTCCATATACCCTCATTTTATACCCTCTTTTTCATTGGTTAATTTGGATTTCGCTCTCTTTTTTATATATATTTTTTATAATCCTGCTAGTATGCGTGGCTGCGATTAGCATTATTTTTTTTACATCTGCACATGAACTAATTAACATGTTCAGCAAGACGGTAAATCATACGATTTCAGCTGTACGACCTCATGCTTTGCCTGAATTACAACATCACTGCCGTATTCTCCATAGATTAATTTCCACGATTATCTTCACATTCAGAAACCTTTGTTCACAATTATTTATATATTTGGGTGCTCCATATTGTATTATTGCCTTGATTGGATTATGAAACAATGGCATTTGTTTATGTGTTGAGGTACGTATAGGGTCGAATGCTTATGATAGTTTCGGTGTATCTTTATGCTTTTGTTGTTTACATGGTTTGTTATTTCATAAACTTTTGTTCTCAATTATTTATGTATATGGGTAGTTCATGTTATATATATGATTGCCTTGATTGTAATATTGAACATTGGCGTTTCTTTGCATTATGTTGGTTTTCGTCCGTTCTTTTTTATATATGTATAATGTTTATAATAGGTACATGCAGCCCGTTATTTGAGATCAATAAAGTATGAATGGGTCAATAAAGTGACACATTTTCTACCCGTAGCATTGATACGCACTTCTACCGGGTGAAATTGAGTCAGGATGACTCACACACAAGGATAAAAAATGCATCACTATATGACCAAAGTCTCCACAAATTTTTATGAGTGTACCCTTCGACGTCATAAGTGTAATGACCGCCTGATAACCTCTAATAACTTGGAGGGTCAACAATATCAGCCATAATAATAGGAGAGCGACAGCCTAGTCGCTATTATTGCCGCGACCCCAAATTGTTTATAACCGCCTGCTGAATTAATTATATTGGCATCCTTCTGAGAGCAGACCTCAGACATTTTTTACTGGTATATTTCTTCCTATCAGTAATTTTTTCCTTTCAGTAATGTCCAGGTAATTTTTTAGGAAGTTTCAGCGATTCAGTGCACTTACTTTTCTCCTGCATTATGTTGTGCCGACATTGGTTGTTAGCGCATTTTCTCATTTATGTAAAAAATGTCCTATTGTGCTCGTCATGTCCGTCCGTCCGTCTGTCCGTGACTTCACGTTTTCGTCGATTCGGAGAAAATGCGCTCTCTGTTACGCACTGTAGTGAGTAGGTACTGAGTAATATTTTTTTTGGAACTGATGCACCGAAAATTATATATGACATTATTATGACATATGTTGGTTTATGCAAGCTGTTGGTTCTAGTTTTGTGTTTTGTGCAAACGTAGCAAGCGGACAAAGGCGTTGGAGAGATAACGGGACGGCCATTCGCTGCATCCGCTATTCCGGACCTAGCGCTAGACTTCCGCTATTCCGGACCTAGCGCTAGACTTCCGCTATTCCGGACCTACCGCTCACGTTCCGATGAACTTTAGAGTAATGCAGCCTCCGTATATGCGCAGCCACTGCAGCTGTAATATGCTTCATAAATCATCTTCCCCTGTATAATGCAACAGTTAGGCATGTTGTTAAGTAGTACTGTGAGTTCATGTAATAAATTCACATCTGGTGAAACCTCATTTTTTCAATTTTTGATCTTTAACGTTGATTTATTTGCTTATATTAAAACTTTATTGATGTAATCTGTTCTAAAATTACAACCAAAGGCATATATCATTGTATGCAAATAATATGACAGTTTATTCCTTTCAGTTTGTTGTTTACAAATATACATTTTTATTGTTGCTACGTATGAGCGCCAACGGACATCCTACTTTACGTCGTCTTTTATTCCACATCATGAAGATTATTTTTTATTTCACATCATGAAGATTAAGAGTTGCCTGCTCTGTTCAATACATCCGGTACGTCATTGCAATTACCAGTGCGCAGTGAATTTCATCGTCATTGTCATCGCTGCTGAGGCGCGCGGGCTGCTCGATATGACCTCAAATTTAACAAATATCACTGCAACTGAATGACCCTTCTATTTTGTACTCAGTTTATTTTGATAAGTGACTTATTCTAGTTACCAGGCTTATAGAGAAACCCTCAGGTTACTGTGCTTCACGATCGCGGTTCTAACTTCCGCTTCACTGAAATCGTGAAAAGATTTTCGTTACTTTAGTACTTGGAAGCTACACTTGGAGAAATAAGTGAGACTTCGTCCAACTATCGATACACTTTTTACGCTTGCTTCGGGCACCCTGTATTAGTTTAGTTCGGCAAAAGTGTGCAGCAGTTCTACGTACAAAAAGGTAACTATTTATACACTACGTATTGTACGTATTATGTTGTACACTACGTTTTGTACGTATTTTATTGTACACTACGTTTTGTACGTATTGTATTGTACACTACGTATTATAAACTACGTATTGTACACTACGTGTCGCTATTTGTGCTATATGACCCGTTCATTTTTCTAAGTGTATAGAAGGGTGACTATAAATTCGATCCGCGGTCTGGTGGTGCACGGCAGGTTTTATGCAAGGCCGGAGGAGGACAAAACCGAGTGGTCGCATGCTGTTGCGCGCAAGTTCCAGTTCGAGCGAAGGCCAGGGTATGAAGTGATGCTTCGACGCAACGTTCAGTGGTGGACGGCCATTCGACTCTATGCTATTCGACCTCGTGTCTGAGGGGTGTAGAGCTCAAAATTTTCAAAGCAGAATGATGTCAAGGGTCGGCTACGGATAGCAGGTTCCTTTCGCGGCTGATTGGTGGATGCCCGGAGAGATCCAAGGCATTCGATTCAGGGCTTATTAGTGCACGGCTGCGCTCCCAGTTTATGTTGATAATTGAAGGTTATTCTAGTTACCAGGCTTTCAGAGTATCCGTCATGCAGGTTACCATGCATCACGATCGCGTATCATGAATAGGTATTAAGTTCAGCTTCACTGAAATAAGATTTTCGTAACTTTATTACTTGGATGCTACACACACTTGGAGAAATATGTGAGACTTCGTCCAAATATCTATACACTTTTTACGCTTGCTTCGGGCACCCTGTACTAGTTTAGCTCGGCAAAAGTGTGCAGCAGTTTTACGTACAAAGAGGTAACTATTTGTACATTACGTATTGTACACTACGTATTGTACGTATTGTATTGTACACTGCGTGTCGCTATTTGGACTATATGACCCATTCATTTTTCTAAGTGTATAGAAGGGTGACTATAGGACCATCCCTTATCAGCGCTGCACACCTGTTACTAGAATTTACTGCGTTCAGTGTACATGTACATTGCACAGTCTCTTTCTTTCTCGTTCACTGTACAATGTACAATTACTACAATATATATATATAGTCCACATGTGCAAATTGTAAAGGCTTTATTATACAGCTTCTTTCAGATGTTTGTATATAATTTCAGGATCTGTGTTTAGGAAAACTTATTTGTTAACAATAATATCATCTTATATTATCAGCTTATATTATCAAAGTAGCAGATATATTATTTGGAGGTCATGTATGATTTCTATACGTATGCAACCAAAAGGCATTGCAAGCAGGAGTTTAAGTCAGAAATTAAAATTCAACATTTTGAAACATAAACATTTAAAGTATACATTTATTCATTAGTATATGCTTCAAACTTAATATTTTCTCCAAATTCAACGTTGGTTGAATTGGAGGTATTTTCTTCAATAAAGTCTACGACGATTATTTTTAGCGCATTTTCTCATTTATTGAAAAAAGGCGCTATTGTGCTCGTCATGTCCGTCCGTCCGTGACTTCACGTTTTCGTCGATTTTGAGAGAAAGCGCTCTCTGTCGCTCATTGCAGTGAGTACCGAGTTATATTTTTATACGATCAAATGACTTTAGCTTAACAATGATTATCATAGCACTTTTCAAGATTAAATTACTTTAAACTCGATTAAATTACTT